TGGACACCAGTGTATTCATAGCAACCATTTGGGGAGTAAACCAATGGATGGAAGATCTTTCTGTCTCTCCTTTTCTCTGTAGATGTGACTTTCCAACAAAAATAAATAAAAAGAAAAAAAAAGATAAGATAATTCAGGGTCAGTACAATGGCTCAGTGGCTAATCCTCCACGTCCAAGCACCGGCATCCCATACGGGTACCAGTTCACATCCTCCCTGCTCATGGCCTGGGGAAGCAGCAGCAGCAGAGGCCTGCCCAGAGCCTTGGGACCCACATAGCAGACCCAGAAGAAAGGACTGTCTCTTGGCTTCGGATGGGCTTGGCTCTAGAAGTTGCAGCAACTTGGAGAGCGAACCAGGAGATGGAGGGCCTTTCTCTCTATAGATCTGTATTTCCAATAAAAAAATAATAAATACAGAAAAAAAAAACACAAGAAAACTTTTGAAGGAAGAAATCAATGACTGTTACATGTTACACTACGCACAAACAGAAGGCTAAAAATGAATCCAAAAGTACATCTTCGGGGCCAATGTCATCACGCACTGGGCTACGCCACCTCAGGCAAGGCCGGCACCCCACATCAGATGGGATGCTGCTCCTCTTCCAATCCAGCTTCCTGCTGCCGTGCGGTGCCAGAGACAACGGGTGGTGGCGTGCGTACTCAGGCCTCCGCTATCCACGTGCGGGACACGCACTGAGCTCCCGCGCCTGCTTGAGCGTGGCCCCTCCCTGGCTGCTGCAGGAGCTGAGGAGCTGGGTACAGACACTCTCTCCCGGTCTCTCTGTCCCTCTTTGATCATTCAAATAAAAAGGAAACACAGGTTTAAATATTTCTAAAGAGATATGCAGCCTCTGAATATTCATGCAGGTCTTTTTCCTGGCTGAGTCGCACAGCAGCTGCCTGAACCTACAGGCTCAGAAATGCCCAGGAACCAGACGCCCGATGAAGCCAACCAGCCGCTTTCCCCTCTAATCAGCTTCCTAAAGTGACCCCACATGTGTCGGGGGACGGACAGAGTGACGAGAGCATCGACTCATCGAGGGAAGCCTTACTTTGAAAACACACATCCAAATTGATTCCCTTCCTCACTTCCCATGTAACCTTACTCTGAGTAACACAAGATATGAACACGAGCCATGTCACTGCGTCTATTCACTGTCAGAAGCAATGAAGGCTAACATGCGAGCGCTCACCGCAGGCCACACTGCACAACTTTCCTCTCATCCTACACCTCTCAGGAGTTGTCGTTCCACTTTTAAGGACTGAAGGAATTAAAATCAGGCAGGTTTGACAGTTTGTCCAAGGTCACAGAGCTCCTGCACTCCTAAAACCACGTAAGAAACAGCTGCAAGTTAACTTCAAAGAAGCTCATAATACAAACGACCTCCGTAGGAACATACATTATGTCAAACGAAGAGTGACATAAATAATTAGAAAATACATAATTGACGACGATATAAACTAGATCTGTAAGGTCTGAAGAAGTCAGCACAGTGCTCAGGAACAGGTTTGGTAACAATCCGTCAGCTGAGCTTCCGGGGAGACTCTGTGAGCAGGGAGCACTGCCGAGCCGGTCACAGGACACAGAGGCTTGAGAGCCGGAGCCCTGCACTTCCAGTGTAGCGGCCTCCCCGGCCCGTCCCCTCACCCTTGCACTGGTCAGAAAAGGGCCAGAAGGGCCGGGCTGAAGGCTGCTTGCCTGCCCCTGACAGTCTATCCCCCGGGGGGCTGCTCCTTGCCCACTCTCCCACCTCTTCCCCTCCTACACAGACCTCCCGCAGCTCCGAGCAAGGAGCCCTCTCTGGTCCTTCACCTTCAAGGCGGACCTGGTGCCACGCTTCCAGGACCAGAGATGATGACAAAGGGGGCGGGAGAAGGCAGGGCGTGACTGCAGCTTGCGCTCAAAGGAGCATTCACGCCAGGGAGACTTCCTCCCAGAACGCACGACGTTATTTTGCCCACCTTCCCGCTGTCATCTCTGGACACTGTAAGACCTGAGCTCCTGGCGACACGCTGAGAAACACCGGATTAGCACCCTCCTTTCCAGAGAGCTTGTGGCAAGCCACCCAGGCTAAGCCACAGCCCTCACTGCCCGCCACTCAGGCCGTCTCGCCTTCAGTTCCCCGTGGTTTCTTTTGTACTGCAGTGAGACACACAATTTCCTCTTTTCTTCAAAGGCAGTACCTCCCGTGACATGCCCTGCTCTGCTGAGCTTCCTACCGCTCAGGGCGCCTAGAAAGCTCACAGGCCCTGCCCACAGGGCACCCCCGCTCCCAGCAGGCCCCCCAGTGTCTGAACTAAAGGCATACACCACAGACCTACCAGAGATTTCAGAAGGAGACCGCATGGGATTGCTGCGGTTTACAACTATCTGGCAGCATTTCCTTACAGGAAAAATTAGTTGATAATCTATACAATAACAGTAGATACTCAGTAGGCCATAATTACACGGCAGCTCAGGATAACGGCACTTATTCGATGCATCACGTTCCAATGAAAACCACCTCTCCGAGCGCAAGCTCTCCTTTCTGTTAAAGCGAAGACAAGCGGACGGAAGCGTAATAACAAAGCTCAAACAAGCTGATGGAAAAGGCCATCACACAAACACAACAGGACACTGCACGGACCTGAGGCTTTCCGCCTTGGTACTGCCTTATATGCAAACAGCTGCTTAGACCGTATGCATAAAGTTCAGACAACAGAGCTCCTTGCTAAACCCATAAAACATTTCCACGGAGGAAAAAAAAAAGATTTCAGTCACAGGCATACCTGTCCACTAGACTTATCTGTAGGAAAATTCACATGCGGAATTGAGCTTCGACGTGACTCCCCAGGCAGCTTGCGACTGGTCCTTTTGCTGCACAAGTCCACGCAGACCTGCCTGCAGCACCAGCCCCACCACGGGGCTCCGCGACGCACTCTGCAGCAAGCAGCCCACGGAGGCACGGACCTGCAGCGCCACGTCTGCCCCATCCGCTGACAACACGGGGGGCACAAAGGCAGCCCTCGCACAGCACGCGGTCCAGGCCCCCCGACGGCCTGAGCCGACGGGCCAGCAGAAGAGGACACGCACAGTTCAAACCAGCAACTTCTATCAGAGCAAACCCACAATAAAGGCAGAGTTAAAGCGGGCCACAGGTACCACAAATAACACCATCGATCTGGGGCTGTTGGGTCAGCTTCCTGTCAATTCCTAATGAAGTCTAAGGCTCCACCATCAACCATCTCCGCACCTCAGTCAAGAGACGGACCCCCGGCCAACATGCGGACCCAGCAGACCCAGCGGCTTACAGCTGTACTTTTTCCAGAACCATCCACTGAAATACCAGATAACATCACATAAATATAGGAGAAGCACATGTGAGCTGCGTCACAGGTCGACCAAAACAACCCTACACCGGGAAACAAACCATGCACCTGTCCTGAAAACCGTCCAGCACTCGGTCTGAGTGAGTTTCCCTCGGAGCAAAGCTGAGCCAGTCAGCTGTGGGCCCCAGAAACAGCTCCTGGAGCGCCTATGAAAAACCCAGGGAGCTACCATCAGCAGCTGGCGGTAGACAGACCCAGAAAAGGGAGCGTGCGGGGCTACCCCGTGTGTAAAAGCAATCAACTCCTATTTTTAATTTCACTCCACCACAAACATCCAGGCAATGCGCCTCTTTTTCTGACTTAATCAAAGCTGATGTGTTACTACAAATATTCACTTTTAGAAAGTCAACTCTGAATCGAAAGTCGTCACATTCAAGAGTCAAGTCTGACAGGAAGGGAAGCACCCCTACACTTGTAGCGGGGAGGAACCTCAGAGAAATTTACATCTCAACAAACTAAGGCTGGCCATTGCAAGCTACTTCCTGCAACTGGTCCACCTGGTGACTCAACTAGACAGGCCCAGGGGACTCCTATCTTCCTAAACACTTCCCAGCTGGTTAATTGAAAAATAATATGTTGGTGATTAAGTGCAGGTGAGAACAGCACCTCCCCTACGTTTGGGGTTATTAAAAATAACGATTTCCTCCAACACGTGCCTGGACCTTTAACACTCAAATCCACCTCGGACTTGTCACGGTCTTGGATTCTGGACGGGGGAGCGGGGGGAACAACCCAAAATGCTCTGATAACAAAAAGTCAGAATTCCCTCCCCCCGCCCCGGAACCTGCCTTTCCCCTCCCCCCCACCGATGGCTTTTAACACAACTCGGGGGGTCGCTCCCCGAGCACCGACAGCAAGCTTGGGGTGGGGTGGGCTGGGGGGCGCCGCTTTTGTCTCGGGGGCCGGCAGCTGCACACAGGAACCTGAGCACCAGCCTGGCCAGTTCTCACCCCACGACACAGCGCGCCTTTCTCATTGTCTCCCACCAGCCGCTTCACCGACTTCGCTTTTTTTTTTTTTTTCCTATTCTTACAAAATAAACCAACCCTCCCTGGACCCCCACCCGATGTCAGGAGGAGGCTGCCGGGGCCGCAACCTGCCTGTAGTTGGAGGAACCGGTAGCTACCACCCCCTCCTCTTCCTCTCCAAACACCCCGAAGGGTGATCAGATTTGGGGGGGTTGCGGCGGTGGAGGAATCCAGCCCCAGACAAGCAGCGGGGAGCAAACCCCCCCACGACAAAGGTGGTCCCCAAAAAGGCAGCCCCTGAGGCGTGCGGAGGGGGATCCCTCCTCGGCTGGGCCTGCCCAGGACCCCCAAAGGGTGCACCCCGCTCCCGGCTCGCTGCTGTCACCGGGCACAGGCGCCTCGCATTGTTACCGGAGGAGGAAGAAACGCCGCGGCGGATCTGCCCCGGGTCCGAGGCCCCCAGCCCGGGGCAAGGGGCGAGCTGTCAGCACCCTCTCCCCGCGGCTCCGGGCGCAGCTTTGTGTGGCCCGGCGAGGGGCAGGGGCGCACAGGCCGACGGAGGACAATGAGCAGCGGCGGGCAGCGCCGGGCAGGGCCTGGCCACCCGGTCCCCGCCATCCCCGGGCCGTCCACACCGCGCGCGCCCCGCCCGGCCTCCTCACCCTCCGAGAGCTCCAGCTCCAGCTCGGCCAGCTGCGCCCGCACCTCGGGCGGCAGCGCGGCCACGGCGGCCGCCGACGGCTCCAGGCCTCGCTCCGCCATCCCGGCTCCTCCGCCAGCCAGCCACACTCCGGAAGACGAGAGCAGCAAGGCTGAGGCAGGGCCCACACCCCGGCTACTGGATCCGGCTCCGGCCGCCGAGCGCCGCCAGCCGGGCCGCCATGAGCCAGCGTCACGTGAGCACGCGGCCCCGCCCCCGGCGGAGCACGCGCCGCTTCCGCAGCCCGGACGGCCGAGGGCGCGCAGGCGCGCGGCGCCCCCTGCCGGGCAGGCCGGGAAGGCGCACTCGAGCCGGCCGCCCTGGTCCTGGCGCCCCCGGAGCCGCTGCACGGCCGCGCGCCCCTGGAGCGTGCACCTGCTGCAGAAAGGGGCCTTGGCGGCCCCGGACCTTGCTTCTTCCAGTTCCTCTGACTTAGCGGTGTCTGCCTTTCTGGGTTTTTTTTTTTTTTTCCATTTCCGCCTGGGATCGCCTACTCATTGAAAGCACCTCGGCTGAGGCGGCCTTCTTCAGTAGAAGCGTTCCACTTTGGCGCACACTCTAAAACCCACGGCGGGGCAACCTACTTCCTGCTGCCTTCTGCCTATTTCTGACTGCTCACAAGACAGGAACTTCAGTCTTTATTTCCTCAGAAGTTGAGGGATTATAAAAAGAATGGAAACGTGTGTATTTTTAACTATGTATATATATGTTTATATATATGCGAGATATACAGAGAGGAGGAGAGACAGAGAGGAAGATCTTCCGTCTGATGATTCACTTCCTAAGTGACCACAACGGCCTGAGCTGTGCCAATCTGAACCTGGGAACCTGGAACCTGGAACCTCTTCTGGGTCTCTAGGCTTTGGGCCGTCCTTGACTGCTTTCCCAGGCCACAAGCAGGGAACTGGATGGGAAGTGGAGCTGCCAGGATTAGAACCAGCGACCCTATGGGATCCCAGTGCGAGCAAGACGAGGTATTTAGCCACTAGGCCATTGGGCCAGGCCCTCTCCTTTTCTTTGTATCTGCCTTTCCAATTTAAAAACTCAGCTAAAGAAAACCACTAAGGGACTTGTCAAGGGTTCAACAGACATTCTGAATTACCACAATAAAACTATCACTGATACTGAAGCCCAGTGAACTGTGACTATTCAGTCTGAGTAACAGACCTTGGAATGGGCCTGAGCTAAAGGCGGTGGCCCTGTTAAGCCGCACCGCAGGCCATATCATTGCCTAGCATCAAACCTACTTCCCACCCAGCTTCCTGCTAATGGAGGTGATAAGAAACTGGTCTGGCCAGTGGCAGGTTCAACTGCTCCCTGAGAAGCTGGCCTCCCAGGTGAAAGCCGGTTCAAGTCCCAGGTGCTCCACTTTGGATCCAATTCACTGCTACCATGCCTGGAAAAGCAGCAGCAGATGGCCCAAGACAGCAGGAAACGAAGTTCACTCGGGTCGCCATCACCTCCACAGGATGCAGCAGCAGTTAAAACTGAAGTGGAGGCAGCATTAAACCCAACTGGAGGCCCCAGAAAGTGTCTTTTCCCACTGTGCGCAAAGCCTTCCCTGTGACAGCGTTGTAACTGATCAAACCAAAGCAGGCACATTTGAGGACTGTGAACTCCACAGGATGGAAGCTCAGAAGTCCATGCTTCAGTACATTATCATCAAACTGCCAAAAGCAGAGAGAAAGGCAACATTGAAAGCAGCACGCACACACACACACACACACACACACACACACACCCTCATCTGTGTAGCGAATGTTCGACGCCATGGGAGCCAGGACAAACGAATAGTGTGGTGCAGTGGGTTACGCCCCTACTTGGGGTGCTGGCATCCTGTACTGGAGTGCTGACTTGAGTCCTGGCTGCCCCAGTTCTCTTCAGCTCCTTGACTGATGTGCTAGGACAGCAGGGGATGACATCAGCCCGCTCCGTCCCAGTACTGCTGGCCATTCGGAGAGCAAACCAGGTGGCGGAAGATTGCTCTGTCCTTCTGCCTTTCGAAACAAATAAAACGGGAGCCACCATTATGGCACAAAGGGTAAGGCCACTGCCCAGGACAACAGCATCCCATCCAGTTGCCAGTTCCTGCTTTGGCTGCTGTAATGCTTGTCCAGCTGCCTGCTCACGACAAAGCAGAGGGAAATCACCCAAGGGTCCCTGTCACCCGGTGCGAGACTTGCAAGCAGCTCCTGACGTCAACATTGTCACAGAATATGAATGACAATTCAAAGCTTCTCATTCATGATTTGCTGGTTAAAAAAATACACAAACGTGGGCCTCGTATAAAAGCCTAGAGGCTAAAAGTCCTCGCCTTGCAGGCACCGGGATCCCAGAACCTTTCAAGCTCTTCTCAGTCCCTGCCTCCCCGAGTGGCCGGTCCTCTTCTAACCACCCACCCAGCCTCGCAGAGGCACGCCATCTTCCCTCTGACACTGTGAGAACCTGCAGGGCACCAGGAGATACAAGCAAAGGGGCCTGCAGAACAACATCTCCCTTTAGTCCTCACCTTTCACACTTAGCCTCCAACAAGCCAACGATCAGTTTGTCACTTTACCAAAACCCTGATTTCTTTGGCAGTTTTTTTTTTGTTTTTTTTTTCCCCCCTCTAAGATTTATCTTTATTAGAAAGGCAGATTTGGGCCCGGCGGCATGGCCTAGCAGCTAAAGTCATTACGTTGAATGCGCCAGGATCCCATATGGGTGTTGGTTCTAATCCTGGCAGCTCCACTTCCCATCCAGCTCCCTGCTTGTGGCCTGGGAAAGCAGTTGAGGACGGCCCAAATCCTTGGGACCCTGCACTGGCATGGGAGACCTGGAGGAGTTCCTGGTTCCTGACTTCAGATCAGCACAGCACTGGCTGTGGGGGTCACTTGGTGAGCGAATCATCAGACGAAAGGTCTTCCTCTCTGTCTCTCCTCCTCTCTGTATATCTGACTTTGTAATAAAAATAACTAAATCTTATAAAAAAAAAAGAAAAGAAAAGAAAAGAAAGGCAGATTTACAGAGAGGATGGACGTAGAATCTTCCATCCACTGATGGTTAACTCCCCAAACGGCCTGCGGGGCCAGAGCTGAGCTGATCCAAAGCAGGAGCTTCTTCTGGGTCCCACGCAGGTGCAGGGTCCCATGCAATGCTTTGGGCCGTCCTCTACTGCTTCCCCAGGCCACAAGTAGCAAGCTGGATGGGAAGCAGGGCGGCTGGGATTAGAACCAGCACCCCTATGGGATCCTAGTGCATTCAAGGCGAGGACTTTAGCTGCTAGGCCACGGCGCCAGGCCCTGGATGAATGTTTTAATAGCTATGTTTTCAAAGCTGTAAGTAAAAGCATCAGCTTCTTTTAACTTGCTCTTTTCCATGTTTCTACATGTGTAAGTACATTTTAGGCCATATATGTTCCAACGACAGTTACAATGCTGTTCAATTTTCAATCATTGCACCTTGCAAAATTCATTGAAATCCATGCTCCACCCGCCCCAAATGTTTGTGATCCATCCTGCCTCTTCACCTTTATACTCAGACCTCTAAAAAGGACTGATTTGAATGGTGGAATGACACAGAGAGGCAGAATTTCTTGCTCTTGCTGGTTCATTTCCCAAGTGACGCCAGGAGCTAGGAACTCTTTCCTAAGGTCTTCCAAACGGGTGGTTGGAGCCCAAGCACTTGGCCCATCCTATACCGGCTTCCCAGGAAGCCGAATCACAAGGGAAGTGAACTGGACCTCCAACACACAATGCTGGCATCAGAACTGACGGCTCAGAGGCCGTGGCATGGCACGCTGGGAATCCCCTGGGGTAACTGGTCTGTGCCGTGCTTCACATCTGATCCAGGGCTCTGCTCATGGCCTGGCCAAGCAGAGGAGGCTAGCTCAAGGCTTGGGGACCCTGAAGCTGTGTTGGAGACTTTGGAGAATCTTGGCTCCTGGCTTCAACTCAGCTCAGCTCTGGGAGTGGGCTAGCAGATGGGGGACCTCCCTCTGTGCAACTCTTTCAAAAGAACAATTTTATGATTTTTATTGGAAAGGCAGATTTACAGAGAAAGGACAGAGATCTTTTGTCTGCTTGACTATCCAGTGAACACAGACATCTGATGAAGATCTGGCCTGGAAGTTCAACGCTGCCCCCACCCCCAGGGCCGCCGACTCCTTCCTGTGTACCTTGCCAGTCAACCCAGCCACAATACACAGTCGTATTTTGACTTGCATTCTGTGTACCTAGCATGTACTTGCTTTACAGATGTTTTACATCAAAATGGTCATAAACGGAAGAATTGTTCTTAAAGATTTATTTATTTAAAAGATTTATTTTATTTTTATTGGAAAGGCAGATATCAGAGAGGAGAGACAGAGAGGAAGATCTTCCGTCCGATGATTCACTCCCCAAGTGAGCGCAACGGGCCAATACTATGCCGATCCGAAGCCAGGAGCCTCTTCCGGGTCTCCCACGCGGGTGCAGGGTCCCAAAGCTTTGGGCCGTCCTCGACTGCTTTCCCAGGCCACAGGCAGGGAGCTGGATGGCAAGTGGAGCAGCCAGGATTAGAACCTGCGCCCATATGGGATCCCGGGCGTGCAAGGCGAGGACCTTAACCACTTGCGCCATCGCGCCGGGCCCAAAGATTTATTTTTATTGGAAAGTCAGATATACAGAGAGGAGGAGAGACAGAGAGGAAGATCTTCCATCTGATGATTCACTCCCCAAGTGAACGCAATGGCTGGAGCTGAGCCAATCCGAAGCCAGTAGCCAGATCTTCCAGGTGCAGGGTCCTAAGGCTTTGGGCCATCCTCCTCCACTGCTTTCCCAGGCCAAAGGCAGGGAGCTGGATGGGAAGCAGGGTTGCTGGGATTAGAACCAGCGGCCATATCGGATCCCAGCACGTTTAAGGCAAGGACTTTAGCTGCTAGGCCATAGCACTGGGCCCAAGAATTAGATTTATGGGAAAATAGCATTCAGGCATTTTCTGAAGGTTTAAATACTGATGAGAACTGACCCACTGCACAAATCCCAAATTCTCCAGAGCAGAATGGTAAGACACAATTTTATGTGAAGTGCTTAGCACAGCAGTTGCCGAAAACTGTCCAGTGGACGATGATGATGCTCCACATTGATGTTAGCAGTAAGAACAGGAAAGGCAGATTAAGATTAGTTAGTCCTGTCCCAAATAGTTACTTCTTTAATTGGCTGAAAGAAAATATAATCTAGCTAAAATCACCTTACAGGAGCTAATGAACTACTAGACATGGTTATTTTTGCCACTCATCCTTCCCCATCTCGTCACTGTTAAGACTTCAAAGAAACGCTCCAAGAACAAGCCTAACCACCTATGAACTGTGTTCAAACAGGAAAAGACCCACCCAGTGCCATGGTGCCACGGCCCCACGCAGCAGTCACATCAGGGCCCCACGCGGCAGTCACATCACAGCCCCACGCAGCAGTCACATCACGGCCCCACGCAGCAGTCACATCACAGCCCCACGCAGCAGTCACATCAGGGCCCCACCCCACGCAGCAGTCACATCAGGGCCCCACGCGGCAGTCACATCACAGCCCCACGCAGCAGTCACATCACGGCCCCACCCCACGCAGCAGTCACATCAGGGCCCCACGCGGCAGTCACATCACGGCCCCACGCGGCAGTCACATCACGGCCCCACGCGGCAGTCACATCACGGCCCCACGCGGCAGTCACATCACGGCCCCACGCGGCAGTCACATCACGGCCCCACGCGGCAGTCACATCACGGCCCCATGCAGCTGTCACCTTTCATGCCTCCTTTCTGGTAACTAGATGATACTTTGCACCTTTCCCTCAAAGCTGCTCCAGTCGGGTCAATATCAGGCATATCTCACGTGATGTCTCAGCTGTTCTCCACAATGTCCACACTTCAAATCCCAGGCAGCCGGGGTGTACTTCTGGAAGGCGGAATGCTCCTCATGCAACTGTAGGAGGGCCCAGCAATTCTTCTGATGCACTGATAGCCACAGGTTGATGGCTCACCCAGAACACCTTCCTGGAGTGTAATGCTTCCTGCTCCCCATCCTGTCAATGTGCATTAATCCCTGCACGGCCAGCTGTACTGTTTGCACAGAACCACTCAAATGCCAGCCTTCGCATGGACTGTCTCAGCTTTGCTCTTCAGGACTTCTTCGCGCTAAGCACCCCAGGGGCAGGAATCCTACCTCGTTGCTGCCCAGCGCGCTCAGGAACACAGAACATGACAAATAGCAGTTCAAAGTCCATCAAGTTTAGCACCATCTCTTCTCGGCCTTTTGGCTAAGACCAAGTGAAGCCTGACTTTACTTAGCTTAACCAGTATTTTTGGTTTTGACAAGATAGCAGTGACTGGTTTATGCAAAATTTGGAATACAAAAAAGAAAAATAATCAGAAGTTTGGGGCCCAGCGCAGTGGCCTAAAGGAGAAAGTCCTCTCCTTGAATGTGCCGGGATCCCATCCAGTTCCCTGCTTGTGGCCTGGGAAAGCAGTCAACGACGGCTCAAAGCCTTGGGACCGTGCATCCACGTGGGACACCTGTAACAGGTTCCTGGTTCGTGGCTTCAGATCAGCGCAGCACTGGCCATACCGGTTACTTGGGGAGTGAACCATCAGATGGAAGATCTTCTCTGTCTCTCCTCCTTTGTATATCTGACTCTCCCATAAAAACAAACCTTTAAAAACTTTACACAATCTAAAGGCCTTCTTCCTTTCTTAAGGAATTGCTAACTCTAAGAGGGAGGAGTCTGCTCGCTAAGAGGCCTGCTGGGGCGTGTGCCTTGGGTCACTGCTGCTCTGGCCCAGAATGCAGCTTCCTGTGAACAGACTGGAAGGCAGCTGTGATGGCCGAGATGGGCGCCTGCCACCCCAGTGGGAGATCTGCAGAGCATACTTGGCTGCTGTCTGAACACCAAGAGAGAGCTTCAGGCTCGGCGGCTGGTGCATCCACGGGATGAATGAGATGGGTATGAGGTCTTAAGCAAGTAAAATGAATACTTAGCATGCCATTTTGAAAGCAGTCGCATGGCCCACTTGCAAGTCGCGGCAAGAGCTGGAGACAGCAGCCTGGCACTCTACCACCTGCTGCTTCTCAGGATGTGCATCAGCACCAAACTGCAGTGAGAAGCAGCACTAGGCACTGGACTCGGGCACCCTGATACGGGCTATGGGAGCCCCAAATGCCGTCTCAACTGCTAGGCCCAAGACCAATCCTGGGTTATTATTTTCTGACAACTTGTATAAAAATGTATCTGCGAAACACCTGGCAGACCCATGTATTTATTTAAAACAAGTTATTTTTATTGGAAAGTCAAGTGGCCACAATGGCCAGAGCTGAGCTGATATGAAGCCAGGAGCCAGAAACAACTCATGAGTCTTCAACTCGGGTCAGGATCCCAAGGCCACCGCTTTTCCAGGCCACAAGCAGGGAGCTGGATGGGAAGCAGAGGCTGGGACACGGACCGGCACCCATCTGGGATCCTGGCACATGTAATGTGAGGACTTCAGTCACTAGTCTGCCATGCCAGACCCCAAACCCATTTATTTTAAATATGACTGAAAAGTTTGTTAGTTTTCAGTCTGCTGGAAGTATCCAGCTGAACTATTTAGAAGCAGCACTCTTAAGCATGTCTTCTTGGCCAAATAAACACACACTGACCTGACCTAAGGCCCTGAAGCCCTGACTAGTATCTAACCGCCTATAAATCATTACAAAGATAATTTTGCTTACTAATATTAGCAATTACAATTAAGATAATTAACATTCTTAGCAGATTAGGGGTTTAACTAACTGGAAATGCCAATGTAATGGGCTAAGTAGTTACCAAAGTAAGCGCTTGTATTAAATCATTATTGTGTGTCTCATTTACAAACATATCCATATAACCTGGTAGAATATAATCTGAACCATAAAAAGTTTTCTACCATAAATTGTTCATTTTAACAGGCTAGTTCAGGGATAAACTGTAGTGTAACAGACATGAAAGGCCATTCTTTTTTTTCTTGGCAAAATGGTGTGTTCAATCAAGTTAGCTGTCACCCAAGCTTCCAGGGCTTCACACAGCTCTTCCATTTTGCCCTTAACAATTTACTTACACACACACACACACACACACACACACACACACACACACACACACACACACACACACACACACACACACACACAGTCTCTAACACTCCGTGGCTGGGTTTGACATCCACATATCTAAATCAAGCCGTAAGTTGCACCATGAACACACACAGCCCTGCTGGGATCCTGCAGCACCACGCCAAGAACAGGCCCGTGACAGTCACTAAGAGACAACCCCTGGATCCTAAAGCCACAGCTTCTGGCTTACCGCCCTTGCTCTGTGGGCGGAAAACCACAAGTGACCTGCGGCGGAATAACGAAACACAGAGAGTGCAAAGGACTCAAGCACTTTTTAGACATACACCACCTGGAGAAAAGGAAACCAGTACTGTCTTTAATAATTTTATTGTTTTCTAATTTTGTTACTTTAATTTCCCATAGCACCTTGGCAATGTTGAAAACAAATACAGATACAAGGAAGTACTCAGTTTAACATTTTACTCATGAGCATGTCACACCATTTGGAGTGGGAGGGCAGTTTTGACAACAGGGACAAAAGAGAAGCCAGATAAATTCTGATCTCCCACCGCCACCCCCATTTAAGATCATTCAAGGGACACCCTTTACACAGGTGTTCTATGCTGCAAAACTGAAGACAAAACCATTCACACACAGCCACTGACATCCGAGCTACACTCACGGAACCTCTCTAAAAAATAAACTTCAAGTCATTTCATTATGTGACTTCTCATAAAGAATTTTTCAACTTCAAAACAAATTTCCTTTCAACTTCTTCAGTGTCCTTATTCAGCTGATGAAAACCGATATGCCCATGTATATTCTGGAAAGCACAGACTAGCTACATCAGCATGTCAAAAGCCGAGAGTGAAATCAATGGCCACAAAATTCTAAGGAAATATAAAAAACTAGAAAAAAAAAAACCCTCCATTGTGTACTCTAGTTAAGAATTTATAAAACCCCTCAAAAGGAATACTGTCCTCTTTTGAATTTTATTTTTTGTTAAAAAAAGGGTACTTTCAAAATATGGTAAATATATATTGCTAACACAAATATCAGAGACTTAATCCCAGTGTTGTTCAACTGTGTCTAAGTAAAACCAGTGGACATTTAAAGCCAATTATTGACTAATTATTAAGGCCATAACTAGTAAAACTACACAAGGTGTTGAGAAACTGTCTCAAGCTCTTTTCTGTTCTCAGCAGTGTTCTTCTTCTCCTTTACACTAGGGATATGCTAACATCCCTCCAATAAGCCTTTTATACAGCACACGTGGTTATCACAGAGAAAAGGAATGTGAACCAATATTCAAGCAACCTTAATTGTAGGAAGGAAAAATTAATCAGAATGAATTCTATATGTCATCTGATTACCAGCAAATCGAGCACACTGCCAGCAACAACAAATGCGTCATCACTGAAAGCTCTTAGATTCCTCCAAAATCAACTTGAAATAAATTTAAATGGATCATTATTTTAAATGCCTCCGTCTATATTTGGCAAAAATAAAATAAAGTCAGGTTAAAAACAGGCCCTAGATATTATGAAAACCATAATTGTCAAGACAGACAATGGACGCATTCTGCAATGCTTCCATGTACCTTCTCCGTGAAGCGCAAGGAGATGAACTCCTATGACCACTATCTTCATGCAGTAAGAACTAGCACAGATCATTGTACCATACCAAAAGCATCGTTTCTACCTACTTTCAACAACCAAGGAAATGTTAAGTCATAAGGGTGAAGAGAAAAATCTGACATTTTAACTCCTCCATCTAAATAATCAAATAAATAGCTGAGTGAACACTCATGCTCATCAGTTGGAGTAATGCTGGAAAAAACAGCCAGCGTCTCACAGGCATCGTTTAGGTACAAACCTTAAATCTGCTGTAATAAAATAAATGCTAAATAGATAATGTGTATATATATATATATATATTTATAATACATACACCCACACACATTCTTCCCTATATACCCCATCAAATGGGAACTATTAGATGTAATGAGGCAAATAAAATTAAAAACACTATAAGACATTTAAAAATGGTCAAGTCTTTAATTTGGACTTTGGAAGAATATGCTCTCTTCAAAAAAGACTTTTTTCTTGTGTTTCAGGTAGAACCTTTAGATTATTCAAAGTCTGTGGACTAAATGTAAGTCACACATGCATATTAGTAATAAGTCCACCACCTGTGACACACTGTACAAAAAGGTAATGTTTCATTTTAAGTGCAATAATTTTATAATCCTTTCCAAGTGAAGTTTAAAAAAATGTTTATTTTCTTAAATCCAATGCATTCACAAGGTATTAACACTTCTAACATTTATCATTTCCACCAACTGCAGCATTATCCAAGTAAACCAAAATAAGCACTTTTACCCATAGGTGTACTCAATGATTAATAGTTTTTTTTAAAAGGACCTAAATTTCTCCCAAATTTCAGCACAGGTAGAATTGTACGTTTCATTTAGTAGATGATTAAAAAAAAATAGTGTGTAGAAATGAATGGTCTCAAACTGAGTGAATGTATTATGCCATGTTATCAACCCACCAAATTAAAACCAATTGCCAAGCTGAATAAGTTACAAAGAAATAAAAATTCTAGCTTGTATAGAAATGTGCAGTGTTTTCAAAGCTCTTAACAGTTAGTTATCCATTAATACAAATCTCCAAAGCACAGAGCTGGAAGATGAGTTTCACAGTAATGTAATTTTAACCTCCATTTACATTCATTAATATATTACTACGATGTTTACGCTATGTCACAATGGTGCTTTCCAGTGTTCACAATTTACAGCTTCAGTCTGTACATATGCAACTCACTAACACAAGGGACAGTTACTAACACTCCAATCCGTCCCCTACAATGAAAGCAGAGTCCCACCTTACACAGAACTCTGAACATGGTGTGACTTAAAACAGATCAACGCAACGTGGTTTTCTGTATTTTTGCCTTTTTCTAAATACCAGCATGTAAACTTGCCTACTTGAGAGCTACAGCTTTATTTTCAGGGAAATTATGCACAAATTTTCCTCAACCACCTGTATCACCTCAAAAACTGTATGACTTGCAGATTCTTCTCAAGTCAATTCCAAACTGTACTATACTTTTAGAGGAAAGGAAAAAAAGGTGGCAGATACATTTTAAATAAAAAAATTTCTCCTCAAATCTCTTCTTTACAAAAATTTCTTTTTACAATATTTAACACTTTAAAACGTCAGTTATAATGGTTCTTTCATATTTTAACACTAACATAAATAAACTACAGTAGGATGAATCTCATCTATCATTCTTGGACTTAAAAATTCTAAATTTGTGAACAGGAGATTAAAATATTTCAGTGTTTAATTATGAAATTTATAACAGTTAAATCTGATTTGACTAGATTGGTTAAAGTAATTAGAAACATACAACTCAGTAGGCAGTTGGTTACTTTGCTTTTCAGGGTAGGCAAAGAATGGAGAATGACAAATTTTTTTGTTCTCATTTCAGGAGGAAACGAAAATTCAAAGGACAGTTAAAATATTTTCAGTCCACCTGCCATGTCCACTCAGGACTAAGATGAAATTTCCAATTTTAAAATAATCCCATTTGTTCTCTGAAAATAAATTTGATTGGTAGTCACATTTCCATGTATAATCAGAGCTTAACAGCTTGCTGAAAGAAATGTTAGTAAGGTCAAAAAAGACAAACTAAATTCTCAAACTAAAGACATCTACTCAAGTATTACATTCAATTTTTGAATCATTTATGAACTTGACAGCACATTTGGCCCACACCAGGCTTGCACTCACTCACCCCCACAACAGGCACCCACCACTGATCTGCTTTGCAACAAGGCCATTGAGTCAGAGATGGCATTCTTCAAGCCAAACTTTAAATAGATTAAAAAAAGTAATTTCTAATTTTACAGAAACACTTCTTCAAAAAATATTTTCTCTCACTCCCTCAACTCTTACACTGAAGGATGTACTATGTTTTTCCCCAGTTATATCTGAACCTTCAAAATTGATTCCGGGCAGAAAATCTCTGCAAATTAAAATCAAAAACAAAAATAGAAAAATTATATTTTATATGTGTATATATCTCTATCTATCTCTATATATATTTATATTGATTGGAATCCTCCAGCATTTAAAAATCATTTTAGAGATGAATTTTGGGATCCTATTGCTCACAACTCCAAAATCCACAATGATTTAAGGACACACTTTCTGTCTCCCTCCCTCCCTCCTCCCCTCCAAAACAGTCCAATATACCCGGCTCAAGTTTAACGGGAAGAGAAAAGCTTCTGAACAGTTGTTCGTTTGTTTTACTTTGGTGATCTAGGTGGCACGTACTGCTCCTTGCCATTACGTCGAGTCACTCCCTGAGTTATAGCCCTATGGCTAAACTGGCGTCTCTGTTCCCTGATTTTTCCAGCTGTCCCCCTTGGAACAGCATTGCCTCGGAAGCCAGAGCAGTCCTTACTAGACCTGGCCTCGGTTTTCTCATGTGGTTTTTCAACCGACTTCTCAGGAGTTCCATTCTCTTCATTTTTGGTGGGAGACGCTACATTGGAGCGATGCTCCCGCAGGGGCTGCACGGGGACTGGAGACGGCTCCTTAGGGGGCTTCTGGCATACTTCAGCATAACTCAATTTTCGCGGTTCCTTTGAATAATAAAAAAAAAAAGCATGATAGTAAACATTTTCTAAGTAAACAAGAAGAATTAGGTTAACAACAAGAAAAGCCTGTCACCTTCCAAACAAGGGCACACTCATCAAATCTAATCTAGTCTATTTTTTGAAAAGGAAAACTATTTATTTATGAAACTTTCACTGAAGGATGTTCCTCTCAGAACTGATTAAAGAATGGCAAACAACCTAAATGTTCCACAAGGATGTACAGATTAAATTAGTAGTGGTATGTCTGTGTGAAGAAATAACAATTCCATTCTCTATTTTCTTGTTATTAAATTCTGGCAGGCATTCCACAAGAATCTCCAAAGGGCAGCAGGGAACCAACAATGTTAACAGAAGGTCAAACAAAAATTCTAGTTAACTAAACTGAAAAGTAAGTAAAAGAGGGTGTGTGAGAGCAGAAAAAGCATATGTAGTCTTAAAAAAAAATTACTTATTTAAATGTATTATTTTCATTGGAAAGTCAGATATAGAGAGGAGGAAGAGAAAGAGAAAGATCTTCTGACTGATGATTCAGTCCCCTGCAATGGCCTGAACTGAGCCAATCCGAAGCCAGGAGTTTTCTCTGGGTCTCCCACGCGGGTGCAGGGTCCCAAGGCTTTGGGCCGTCCTCAACTGCTTTCCCAGGCCACAAGCAGGGAGCTGGATGGGAAGCAGATCGCGGGGACAGGAATCTGTGCCCATCTGGGATCCCGGCATATGCAAGGTGGAGACTTCAGCTAGTGAGTTACTGCGCTAGACACACACAGTCTTTTCTTTTTTTCCATAGATAGCCTTTAAAGCACAGTCATATTTATATCATATGAAGTACTCTAGATAAACTATGCACACTTTTTTAATCCTTTTGTGTTTTTCTCAATTATACAATTATAAAATTATCCTCGATCTTGCAGACTAGTGGGTACAACAGGTTTGTTGACTGTCATAAAGAGATTCAAGGACTTTTTATACTAAAAGAAAAATGAAAAATTCATGACCTGGACAAGAGATGTGTCTACACAATATCACTATGCAGGGAGCACTAATTTGGGCTACTTCCACATAAATGAACTAGAAAGGTGCCAGCATGAAGTCTGGTGTGGCAAACGAATCCTCTCATGTGCATTCTATAGGGGCATTAGTTCTGGTTCCAACTACTCCACTTCTGATTCAGTTCTCAGTTTACACCCTGGCAAAGCAACAGAGGACGGCTCAATTGGACCCTGAACCCATGTGGGAAACAAGAAGAGACAATCACGGCTCCCAGCTTTGGACTGGCCCAGCTCCTACCATCACAGCCATGTGGGGAGTGAATCAGCAGATGGAAGAAATCTTCTCGCCCCTCTCTGTTTCTTTTTATTTATGTTCACATAAATTTCTTTCCCCGGCTCAAACAAAATCTCTCGATTACCTGCAGCGCCACAGCCACAGCTGGATTTACATTACTACCACAAGGCGAAGAAGTATTTGCCCCTGAAGGCTTTGCAGTACTTGGGGAAGCAACTGGTGTATTCATTTGATTGAGAACATCCTTCGGGACAGTGGAATCTTCTGTTGGATCCTTCTCTTGATGACTTGAGCTAAGGAAAACGAGACAAAACAAAAAGCTGCATGTTAGTGCAGCACACAGCAGTGGCTCAGCGACTGAACCAAGTGAACAGAAAAATGGTAATTTAGCACTGATGATGATCTAAACCGGAAACTTCACCTTGGTGCAGGAAGCTCGGCTGCCTGCGGAGGACGAGGGTTCACACTGAGCTGCTGGGCACAAATGCAGTCTGTCTGTCCATCATCTGCAGGCACTGGGCAACCAACTCGCAAGTCTTCATTATCCTTAAGAGTGAAAAAAAAAGGTAGAATAATGACACTGAGATGTTCTTCCACAGCAGATATGTGCAACTGGCCAAGAAGCACACGGACGTTAATATTAATCATGTGAATGCAAATAAAATCACAAAAAGAAACTACTTCATGCCCCATTAGACTGGATATATAAAAAGAGATGCACATTAATAAATACTGGTAGTTATATAATGATGATAAACTTTCACATAAAAAGGATAATATAAATATAATTGCTTTAGCAAACAATCTACAAGTTCTTTAAAAAGATAAACACCATGCTCCTGAGATCTCTAACTTAAAACAATTAAAAATAGGGTTGGTAGTATCTAACCTCATTAAGAAACCTGTACTGCACAGTGGACGTCCTGGGTTTAAATCCCAGCCCTAGCTCCAGCTGGATGCCAGCCTCCAGCTACTGCAGACTTGGAAAACTGCAGGTGAGGGGTCAAACAACTGAATTGCTGCTACCCATCTGAATAAATAAATAAGTTAAAAGAAAAAAAGCTAAACACAAAATCATTACTCAGTAATTCTACTCCTACATATATTATCAAGAGAAATAAAAATGTATCTAAAAAAGCAAAAAATCTCTTGCAGCCAGAGTAAGCCACTGTCTGCGAGGCTTCCGTGCCGAGAGTCGATATGAACTCCAGCGGCTGGGGTTGCGACCCAGTTCCCTGCTTATGTGCACAAGAAAGCAATGGAAGAGGGCAAAGGATGTGAGCCCATCACCCATGTGGGAAACTGGAATTGAAGTCCAGACTATCAGCTGCAGCCAGTTGAGCACAGAATCAAATGGTGGAAGATTCTGTCACAAGAATGCTGTTCAAATACACTGTCACATAAATGTTCATACTAACATAATTCGTAATAGCCAAAACTTGAAAACAAATGGAATGCTCACGAACTGGTGAATGCCTAACAAAATGTGGCATGTACATTCAAACAGTGGAATAATATTTGGGACTAAAGGGAATGAAAGTCGTGCATATACTGTATCTGAAGTAATCAAATTAACAATTTACAGACAGAACTGTGTGTCCACGAGGTAAGGGAAGGGACGAACTGGAAGCAGTTCAAGGACAAAACAGTTCCAAAGACTGGTTACATAACATGAATGTACTTATTACAGAATGTGAACCTCATTTTAAAAAACATATTCATTTGTCTGAAAGGCACAGTTACAGAGAGAGAAGAACAGATCTTCCATCCACTGGTTTACTCTACAAATGGCCCTAACAGCTAGAACTGGAAACCAGGAGCTTCACTGTGGTCTCCTACATGGATAAGGGGATAAAGAGGCCCAGAAGGATTGGATTGGAAGTGAAATTTTCAGCCATAGATAAAACAAAGGCAAAACAAAACAAACAAAAAATCTGGAAGCCAGATCACACCCTCATCAAACTACAGAAAGACTGCCTCTGACCAGATGAAAATGATGCCCCAGGGCCCAGGCATCCCATCAGTAGCTATGTAATTCCCAGCTCTACTTTCAGTCGAGCTCCCTGGTTCTCGTCTGGGAAAGTAATGGAGGATAGTGGTTGGTTTGCAGCACCCATTTGGGGGACCCAAAAAAGCTCCTGGTTTCAGACTGGCCCAACCCCAGCTATAGTGGCCATTTGAGGAGCGAACTAGCGGTAGCTCCACCTTTCAAAAAACTAACAAAAGGCCTGAGTTTGTATCCTGGCTGCTTTACTTCCCTTTCAAAAAATTTAAATAATCAAAATGCCATAGAGATGAAAAAAAAAATGAGTAAACACCTGACTCTTCTAAAATTAGACTAAAATGTGTTCTGTGACCTAGGTTTTATCCCAGAAATGTTCTGGAACACATGAATAGAAGATTTGACTATTCATTAGCAGTACTGATTGAAATGTCAAAACCAAAAATCACTCCAAATATCCAAAACAAGTATCAGATTGCTGTAACAGAATACTACACAACGTAGAATGGACTGCACTCACCTGTACCAGCAATGAAGCATGCTATCATGTAAGAAGACGGGACAGTGTGCACACACTGTACATAGCTACGACCCTCAGACCAAACACAACCCAAGAGTTCTTACACTACGGACTAGAAGCTAACAATCGTTCCTGGTCATAAAGATATCCAGATCCTGTATTATGTACCCCGGCTTGATTCTTAGCTCTGGACTCAATTTTAGTTTATCAATGCAGATCGTGGGAAGTGGAGGTGATGATGGCTCAAGTAACTGGGCTACTGCCCCCTGTGTGGACCCAGTCTCTGCTCCAAGGTCTGGGCCAGCCACAGCAACTGTGGGCACCTGTGGCAGTGATGTAACAAAAGAAGCACTCTACCTGCCTGGCTATGTTTTTCTGCCTCTTAAATAACTAAAAAATGTTTTAAAAGAGAAAGTCTGTCAATCCAGAATGGCAAAACTATAATAAAAAACAAGCAGGAAGATTCAAAGTTCGGTAAAGTTTATACCTAAGCAGGACGGAGGACAAAGAGGAAGGACCATAAATAAGGAGAGAAGTACTTGTCAAGGCTAAGCTACGATGAACATTTACAGTCCGGAATGATGGGCTGCGATTGTAAGGGGGTGTACCTTTTATTACTATTCCTTACAAATGTATACATACAAGGTACTTTCAAAAACACTCTAGAAGCACTGGCATTGTGGCACAGCAAACACAGCCCCTGCTTGCAATGCCCACTTCCCGTGTTCATGGCCTGGGGATGTTTGGGCACCTGCCACCTCTGCGGCAGACCCGGCCAACTTCGTGACTCCTGGCTTCGGCCTGACCCAGTCTAGGTCATGGTGGCCATTTGCAGGGTTGAATCAGTAGATTCTCTCCCTCTAGCTCTTTCAAATCAACATATGTTAAACAACAACAACAAAAAGCCCAGCAAAATAGCCTAGTAGCTACATCCTCACCTTGTATATGCTGGGAACCCATACAGGTGCTGGTTTGTGTCTCAGCTGCCCATTTGTGGCCAAGGAAAACAGTTGAGGATGGCCCAAAGCCTTAACTCTGCACCTACATGGGAAACCCACAAGAAGTTCCTGACTCTTGGCTTCGGATCACCTTAGCTCTGGCTATATGACCATTTGTGGAGTGAACCAGTGGATAGAAGATCCTCCTATCTCCTTCTCTCCGTAAATCTGACTTCCCAACAAAAATAGAACCCTTACCTAATCAAAGGAGCCACCAAGCGTAAAATGTACCATTATTTGATGCATCAAAAAAACTTGCTGAGCCCAGTGCGGTAGCCTAGTGCCTAAAGTTCCCACATTGCATGTGCCGGAATCCCATACCAGCACTATTTCCAATCTTGGCAGTCCCAAAGCCTTGGGACCCTGCACCCACGTGGGAGACCCGGAAGAACTGGCTCCAGATCAGCGCAGCTCCAGCCACTATGGCTGTTCGTCTCTCCTCTCTATATATCTAATTTTAAAAAGTGTCAAAGTCGAGCTTCCTCAGAGCTCAGACGAAGCAGTAGACAGCACGTCCAGGTGCACATGAAGGATATGGCAGTCCATCGTAACCTGCAGAGGACACCTGGTACCACACAGAGGATGGATGACAGAACAAATCAATCAACTACCCAGCCATGTGTTGGCAGTGAAAATCTGGGCAGAGACCCTAATGTGGATTATGTCAGCCAGTGGATCTTGGCGAGATTTCATCGTGCTTGGATTGATTAAACTGGCAGCAATTCAGAACTATCAAAATCACTTGAACAGTATCCTAGGAACATGCCCCATGCTGGGGACCCGGGGATGGGTGGGGCTTCTCTCTTCATCTCCCTTCTTACCCCAGATAAACAAACATACAAACAAAAAGACAATGTGGAAACAATGGTCTTACCCACTTTCCTATAGCCTTTGACCCTTTGTATCCTAATCAACTATGTAAAGAATATCAAAATAAAATAACTTTAAAAAGAAAGAAAAAGAAAAACTGCCCGAGAAAGAGATGGAAGATATTCCAATCCTGCGGGCCTGAACACATGGGGGAGATGAGACAAAACCGCTGGTTTCCATGTGGCCCAGCTCTGGCAGTCAGAGTAAATCATCAGATCAAACATTTCTCCTTTAATTTCTCTTTCAAGAAGTTATTCCCCATTTGTAAGACAGCTGTTACCTAGAGGTGGGCGTTTTGAATCAGCTTGCAATGCTGTCGTCCTCCATGAGAGAGTTTGAGAGAGCTGGCCAGTAAGCAGCACTTACTTGACAGACCAAACTCCGGTTCCTGCCTGTCCTCAGCTTGGCTGCTGCAGCCGTTTGGGAGTAACCGAGGCATGGAAGATCTCTTTCACTGCTTTTAACTTTTGACTTAATCTGGTTGTCAAATGGCTACAACAGCCAGGGCGAGTCGCCTGGAACTCCATCTACTCAGTGGGTGGCGGGGCAGTCTTCTCCCACTGGTTTTCAGGCACATCAGGAGAAGCTGAGTGGGCAGCAGCACCAGCGAGAGATGAACCTGTGTGACCTGTATGGGATGGTGACACTGCACGCGCAGCCTAATGCTCTGTGCCCTTGTCTGTCTGCCTTTCAGATACATCTTTCTTACCCTTTTTTTTTTTTGAAGCAGTATTCCGATTCTTTCTTACTTAAAAGTCTGAATTTATTTATTTTTTTCTAATTTATTCACTTTAATGGTTAGTTTTAAGCACTTATGTAGACATGTCATCTTCCACTTAGTTTGCATGAAGCAGTTATAACAAGCTGAGCTTACTGATAAAAAAACAAAAGTCAAGAAAGTCTGTGTCGCTTCATAATTTTTTTTTAATTCAAAGTATACTGAGAACTCCAAGAATAAAGACAATGATAAATAAACACGGTAAGTGCAAGTAAAACGCTGCCTAAATGTGGCCCAGCAGGGGACAGAGCCCAATGCTTACCTTTTCTTTGTAGACACCTTGAGCAACATCAGACATCCTATTCTCCACAAGTTCACCGGACATGGCTGATGAACTTCCAGGTAAAGGAGGAAAATTTGAGGCTAGTAAGTCAAATTTTGGTGTTGGAGGCTTTGCTTCAGTTGAGGAGCTGGGTCTCTAAAAAACACAAATCACAAAGCAAGTTTGTCTGCCTTATTCTGTAACTCTGTGCCACAAAGGCTGCAAGAAAACAAAAGACAAGCAAAAGAGCCTCATATCACCTCACATCGACCTGTCATCTGTGCTGCTTCCAGACACTCACAAGGCCGAATTATATCTGCAACATGTTTTTAAAACTTCATCTTTCTTTTACCTACCACCCGAGAAAGAGGTGCTCCAGAGAGACGTACTCCTGGCAAGGCTCTTACTTGTTGTAGGGACAAGTTGCTAAAACTATCCACAATGCAAAATCAGACAGTCTTTGTTTATCCTGACCTCAATGTATCATGTTAATCCCCTGCCCTTCTTTTTTTAGCCACGATTGCACAGGACAGTGTTCTATATGTACAGAGCAGGCTATTCAATTACACGCTTTACCTTAAACCCCAGTGTGTACGTGCCACTCAGACTTCAGACATACCATACTCTTCACACTAAAGCTACAATGTTCTGTAACTTTCACCATATGGATCTCTTGCACCACTTGTCACACCGACAGTGCAGAAACTCGTCTATTCCCCTGACTTGAATTCACTGTGTAAGTGCACAAAGTCTAAAGTTGAGCTTCAGTTAAATCCCGCAGATTCGCCCTACTCAACTCTTCCCATTGAAAAACATGCCCATCTCCATCTCCTTCACACCGACAGTCATTATTTCTGGCACTTTCAACATATTAAGCAAACCCAAAACTGTTTTCCCCAGATGCTGAGGTGCAACTGACCACTCATGTGTACAAGTATAAACTAAAAAGTTCTGTTGCCTGAAGTTTCATGGTTGCCTATAACACAGAAAGTTAAAACAATGAAAACCAGTTGGGCCTGATGCAATAGCGTAGGTTAAATTCCTCGTCTTGAGCATGCCAGGATCCCATACTGGTTCTAATCCCGGTGGCCCAGTTTCCCATCCAGCTCCATGCTTGTGCCCTGGGAAAGCAGTTGAGGACGGCCCAAGTGTTTGGGACCCTGCACCCGTGTGGGAGACCTGGAGAAGGCTCCTGGCTTCAGATTAGCTCAGCTCCAGCCATTGTAGCCACTTGGGGAGTGAACCATTGGACAGATCTTCGTCTCTGTCTCTCCTCCTCTCTGTATATCTGCCTTTCCCAATAAAAATAAATAAATCGTAAACAAACAAACAAAAAATGAAAGAAAGAAAACCAGAAGCACTTCAATGTTACAGGTAGTGCTGTGCAGTGTGTTAAGGCACTGTCTGTAATAGTGGCAATCCACAGTTTCCAGCTTAGCTCCCTCGCAATGCACCGAGAAAGATGGCCCAAGTGATCTGACACCCACGAAACACATGGGAAACATGGATGAAGTTCTTAGCTCCAGGTATTGGCTTTTCGAAGCCACAGCTTCTGTGACCATTTGGGAAGGCAACTAGTGGATGAAATATTTTTCTGTCTCTCCAGCTCTCTAACCCTGCCTTTGCCCATTTTTTGTGGTAGTGCAACTTGCCATAGACCCTAGTGAATTGTATTAGAAATTATTGAGACTACAAATTCTAGTCCTAAGAATGCTTGTCTAGTTATAACTGCACACAAGGGAGATAGCTATATAAAGTTATCATTGCACAATTTATATAAGCACTGTTAAGAATAGGAAAAGATTGGAACTATTTCAATGTTCAACATATTAAATGTTTCCTATTGTTTTTGTAGACCACATAAATCTGCTAGGCATTCAAATGACTAATCTAAGAGCAACACATGCAAAGCAAGGTACATGTGGGTGGGAAAGTAGTGCTGATGACTATTTTGGCAGTAAGTTCAGTTTCTTCCTATGTTTGATTAATGCTACAATTAATACAAGAAAAATTCAGACATGAAAGACAAATCACAAATCAATGTTACAGTCACTTACTGGGATCCTTTCTTCCTCTCGCCGTCTCCGACTTCTAAAAAGCGTTCTCCTTTTCATAACAAAAGAAAAAAGAGCGGGACAACTTGTAATTTTTTCATATAAACAATGCCATCAAAAACGGAGATTTCTAATTTAAAAATACAGATTTTCTAAATCAGGGTCTAATTTCATTATTAAAGACAAAATGAATTCTTCTGAAGGGATTGTGAACTTCTCTACCACCATCACAAATTTAAAATGGAAATACTAGTAGGACTCATTCCAAACTGAAGTATATCATAATAGCTTTTAATTTATGTAGCACAGGCAATAGGCAATTATTTTCTTTAATCTGTGAAGTAGAAAAAAATTAAGGACACAAAAGATGATTCTTAAGCTCACTCCTGAATCCAGCTTCCTGCTAACGCACCCAAGGAAGCAGCATTTCACGTGACTGGGTCCTGTTACCATATGGGAGACTCTGAGTCCCTGGTTCCTGGCTTTGGCCTAGCCCAGATCTGGCTCTTTGAAGAATCTGGGGAGTGAACCAGTGGACAGAATCTGTCTCTGCTGTTCCAAAATTCCCTAAATTATATACATGTATTTTTAAAAATGTGTTTTCATATACCTGAATTTCCTTACCTGCCTCTACCATAGTCCCCATTCTGCTCCATCTGCAAAGTGGGAACCTCCTTGGGAAGGAACGTTTGCTCCTGATGCCCTGTTACTATAGGGCTAGGCCGTTCGCTGGGAAAGCTCCTTGAACTAGACCTATTCAATGGTCCATCCCCCAATGACACAGAGCCATCTGTTGAAGGTTCTGACCCACTAGATGACCTAAAATGAGGCTTCACACTATAGGAAACATGAAAAGGTAAATCAATTAAAAAAAAAAAAAAGAAAAGAAAAGAAAAGAAAACCCACAACCAAACTTCAATCAGGGCAAAACTTGGCTTCTACTACACTGATTTTCTAAAAATTAAGTTGAAAACAAAGTGTTACACTGTAAAATTATAAGCCACTTTAAAAGCAGAATTTTAAACATTATATTGAAGAGATGTAAGGAACCAAAGTTATTGGAGATAAGTCTGTTTCCACATTAATCTTCAGATTGTAAGTATTGTCCCAAAGGTAAGGTACAGTCTTCACATGTTTAAATCAGCAATACCTTAAATTTATTAATAGATCTATGTCACACACTGTAAGGGGGAATAAAACATCCCTAGTGGGAATAATAAATGGTTGTAGACAAAATATGGTCATTTTTAAATATAAGGCACACATACACATGCAATAACGACATGTACACAACAATCAGCATTAATTTCCACAGGAGGAACTTGACAAAAACAGTCTAAAAATGAAGTCTAAGGTAGAGAACAAGAGCAGAAACCAAATCTTCCTCTTGTAAAGTCAATTTTGACATGAGTGATGGATCTAAGTCACAGTCTGTGAGCAGCTGTGGGGACATGAGGGTGACGTAATGGACAGAGATCAACTGGCTAATCCTCTGTCTGCAAGCAACAGCATCCCAGATGGGCGCCAGTTCACATGATGGCTGCTCCACTTCCCATCCAGCTCCCTGCTTGGGACCCTGCACCTGCGTGGGAGACCCAGAAGAAGCTTCTGGCTCCTGGCTTCAGATCAGCTCAGCTTTGGCCATTACAGCCACTTGGGGAGTGAACCAGTGATCCATCCTTAAAGTTTGTCAACTGTAGAGTTCAAACAGCATTTGCCGTTTACACAGCCCATATATTTTATAGCTACAAATATAAAAAAGACTTTAAATCAAATACTTATTAAGACTAGGAACTAAATAATAATTCCAATGGAAGCTCTAAAGCTGCCCAGATTCATTTTTTCAGAGAAAGATCACTAATATTAAAATTCACAGCCAGTGGCTGGAGATGTGGTACAGTAGGTGAAGCCTCTGCCTTAGGCACTGGCATCTCACATTGGTGCTATTAGGTTTGGATGAGAAAAACAGGTTTTTAGTCCAGGCAAAGGGTTTGATGAGTCAGGGGAGAGAGTGTGATGAACTGCTTGCTGGTAGAAGATGGGCCTGGGACTGGGGTCTGACACATCTTAGGCATGGGGATGGGAGAAGGCATCGGTTCCTTGGTTTATGCATGCGTGTGACTTGTAACCAGGGTACTCAGCGTGACACGCTCCAGAATGATCTGGGTGGTTCTGACGAGGGCCTGAGAACCCATAATAGATTCACTCCCATTCTGCCCAGCCTAACAGGTACCAGTTTGTGTCCTGGCTGCTCCACTTCCAATCCATCTCCCTCTTTGTGGCCTGGGAAAGCAGAGGAAGATTGCTCATTCCCTTGGGCCCTGCACCAACGCTGGAGACCTGGAAGCAGCTCTTGGCTTGGGATCAGCTCAACTCCCGCCACTGCAGCCATTTGGGGACTGAAGCAGCAGACAGACTCTATGTAACTCTGGCTCTCAAATAAACAAGATAAAGCTTAAAAACAAATACAAAAAAAACAATGTAGGGATGCAATAGGTTAAGTCACCAAAGGTATTCTGTACATCACATAGTGGAGTGCCAGTCTGGAGGCCTGCCTGCTCCGTTTCTGATCCAGCTCACTGCTCGTGTACCAAAGAAAGGATCAGAATACTGCTCAAGTACTTGGGGCCTGTCACACCAGTTCCAGCCATTGAAACCATGTGGGGAATGAATCAGCAGATGAAAAGATCTGTGCGCATTTCAAACAAATAAGTAAATCTATCTAAAAAACAAATAAAAAAAATTATGTTACAAAGTTTCATACAAAGCTACTTGTTACCAAGTAGAATTACTCTGTTAAAGTATAATACGAAAAATTTACTACGATCTAATAAGAAAGTAATTTAAAAACATATCAACTGGGCCTGGCGCGGTAGCGCAAGTGGTTAAAGTCCTTGCCTTGCACGCCCGGGATCCCATATGGGCGCCAGTTCTATCCCAGCAGCCCCGCTTCCCTTTCAGCTCCCTGCCTGTGGCCTGGGAAAGCAGTCAAGGACGGCCCAAGGCTTTGGGACCCTGCACCCGTGTGGAGATCCGGAAGAGGCTCCTGGCTTCAGACTGGCATAGCACTGGCCGTTGTGCTCACTTGGGGAGTGAATCATCGGACGGAAGATCTTCCTCTCTGTCTCTCCTCTCTGTATATCTGCCTTTCCAATAAAAATAAAATAGATCTTTAAAAAATTTCATATTTAAAAAAAAAAAAAACATATCAACTATCTTACCTACAAACAACTGAGGGTGGATATGCTATTTATATGTTTAGAAATTACCACTGACTAAATCATCACATTTTTATTTAAATGTTGCTGCACTGAGATGCAGTGCAGGACACTAGGTCTGAACAGCCCTCAGATTTCATCATCTTACCATTCACCAAGAGGGACTGACAATCTCAATCCAGGCAAAAGAACAAAGGAAGAAATAAATGACAAAAGACAGAAAGGAAGGGAAAGAAAGACAAAGTATGAAAGGTAAAAAAATGCCTGGATTACTGACTGTTAGTCCTACTCTAACTCGGGCACAGGATCACCATTGGGCTGCCTCAAGGCCAATTACTTTCTCTCTGAGCGATGCCAGACCCCCCCCAAAACACACACACACACACACACACACACACACAAACCAAACAAACTAATAAGCAGCAAATAAAAAAGATGAAAGGTTTGCTAGTCATCATATCTTAGCAGCCAGAATTTGGTTGGTGGTTAGAATGTTCTTAATTTTGATCTGTAATATCACTATTTTTATAGAAAGTATTTTGATGTTATTTCTGTATGAAAAGTTAAGCAAAACAAATGTACATTAGTGTTTTCAACAGTGCAAAATAACATTAAACCTGCTCTGTCTCCTTGATACAACAGGGATGGGAATATGACAAACAAAAGTATTTATTTATTTGAAGGTTACGGACTGTGAAAGCCAGAAATCTCTCATGGTGTGGCCCATTCCTGAATGGTTAGGTTGGGGCCAGGTCCAAGTCAGGAGCCAGTCTGAAGCTCCCTAGTGGACGCAGGGCACTGAGTACATACATGGGCCTTCTTCCACTGCTTTCTCAAACACGTCAACAGGGGCAGGATCAGAAGTGGGCAGTTGGGGCTTGAAACAGAACCCTTATGGTATGCTGATGATCCAGGCAGAGGCTTAATCTAGGATTCCACAATGCTGGTTCCAGGACACCATTTAAATATGCAGAAATGATCTGATGGGAACTTCTAGATACCTTAGTACAATCTCACCCCTTTGAGCGAGACACAGCAGACAAAAATTAAATGAAAACAAAAAGCCATACATCTAACATAGTTTTAAGTAAGCACAAGTATTTTAAAAATCTAAAAATGTCAACATTGCTTTTAGTGTATTTATAATGATGTTTCTGGCAGGGTGGGGACTAGGCAACAGCAGGCTCAGCTCGGGTCGGCTGGGAGTAACTGCTCATGTACACCTAGGATGACAGTGAACGTCCGTTTCCACTCTCTTCATCTGTGAAGAGTCTTGCCCAATTTAAAGGGCAGCGCCTTTGTGTTTACAAATTTTTCAGGCAAAAGAAAAGAAGCCGGAGGACGCTAGGCACACTTCTACTCCTATGTCCTAGGAAAAAGCTCAATTTTGTAGTTAACTGTTATCATTATTACCAAGCTAGAAGAGTCATCTACAAAGAACATAAATAATATGTTGATAAAACACTCTGCATTTTCACAACATGAATATCACATTTGAAATTTAACAGTGTTCTAACAGACGACAAACAACCACCAGTAGCCAGTGCTCTGGTGTAAAAGGGCTTAGCCACCACTTGCAACACAGACAGCCCACAGCATTGCTGGAGGCTCCACTTAGGGTCAGCTCCCTGCTAACACACCCAGGAACACGGGGAAGAGTGTTTAAATCCTCTGGCCTTTGCACCAGCCGGGAGACGCACATGAGGCGCCTGGCTTCAGCCTGCCCCAGCCCAGGTGCTGGAGCCATCTGGGAAGTGTATCAAAGATTCTCAAATCTTGCAATAACTGTGTCAAAAGAAGTCTCAAAACTCTTAAAATAGCATTTCCAGAATCTATTAGTAACATTATTTTTACTCTGTGACGCCCCTTTCTCCAATGAAGCACGTTTCAGGAAAAACTCATTTAAAAATGGGAAAATTTTTGTAAGTCACTGTGAAAAACATTTTCAAGCAATCTACCTGCCATTACAAAGCAACTGCAGGAATGAGATCAGGAATGAGGTTGAAAATCCTTGAAAAGAAACCGCTGAAGCAAAAACTACCCAGAAACCAAGAGGCTCACAAATAAGCATAGAAGAAACATTAAATACAATATTAAATTTGTCAACCTTTTATTCTTTAGTCCAAAGCTATAATAAACACCGTATATCTTATATCATCAGCTGATGTCTAAAGGGAACGTCTGTATCTCTCATATGACAGCAGACAGGTTCCAGATTCTTACTAATCTCTTCTGAACCAGAGTGCAAGTTCGTGAAACACACTGCATGGGTCCCCCATTTATCAACTCCAGGACATAGTATTTTACACTTTTTGTCTCAACACCCTTTGTCTAAAAAATAGATAAAAGCAGTGGTGGTTGTTCTGTAGTGGGCTAAGCTACCTCCTGGGATGCATCACAAGTGAGCCCTGCTGCTCCACTTCGGAACCAACTCCCACTATCTATCAGGCAGTACAGAGATGACCAAGTACTTAGGGTCCACCAGGAGCACCGGCTGCTGTTCTGGGCTCTTGGCTTTGTCCTGGCCCAGCCCAGCCACAGTGATCATCTGCGCAATAAACCAGCAGATTTTCTTTCTGTAATTCTGCCTTTCAAAGAAATACAATAGTTATATCAGCACCTATCTTATAGGGTTATGAAAACAAGCTAACAGGTAATGTCTTAAGAAGCAGACAATGGCACCTGGCAAGGTAGCCTAGTGGCTAATGATATCGCCTTGTATGTGCCAGGATCCAATATGGGTGCCAGTTTGTATCCTGGCGGCCTCACTTCCTATCCTGCTCCCTGCTTGTGGCCTAAGAAAACAGTCCAAAGCCTTGGGACCCTGTACCCACGTGGAAGACCTGGAAGAGGCTACTGGCTCTGGCCATTGTGGCCATGTGGGGAGGGAATCAGCAGATGGAAGAGCGTCCCATCTCTTCTCTCTCTCTGTATATCTGCCTTTCTAATTAAAAAAAAAAAAAAAAAAAAAAAGGCAGACAACAAATGCTCCATAAACAGTACCTATCACTTGTATACTCCTGGAAACCATTTCAAAATTTAATTCCTAATCAGAACACAGCCCCCATTCCAGGTCACACGCCCCTTGGTAGGAACCTCAACCCAGCTAGGGCTGTCCCCTTAGCTCCCCAACCGGGAGCAAGAACCTCAGAGCATACCCTACATCCGGTACCTGGGGAGGGTGGGAAATTGGGTGGGCCTTCTCCCTTAATACCCCCCTTTAAACATGAAGGAAACAAGATGGGAAAAATCATAGTCTTACCCACTTTCCTGTAGCCCTTGAACCTTTTTACCCTATGTAAAGATTGCTAAAATATAAAATAAATGCAAAAAAATCAATTCCTTAATTCTATTTTTTAAAAAATTCATTAATTTTTATTGGGAAGGCAGATATACAAAGAGGAGAATCAGAAATTCTTCCTTCCACTGGTTCACTTCCCAAGTGGCCACAACGACTGGAACTGCCAGAGCTGATCTGCAGCCAGAAACCTGGAGCCTCTTTTGGGTCTCCCACGCGGGTGCAGGGTCCCAGGGCTTTGGGCCGTCCTCTGCTGCTTTCCCAGGCCACAAGCAGGGAGCTGGCTGGGAAGTGGGGCCACTGGGACATAAATGAGCCCCCGTATTGGAACCTGGCGAGTGTAAGGCAAGGACTTTAGCCACCAGGCTACTGTGCTGGGTTGTCAATTCCTTAATTCATTAAAAAAAAAAAAAAAGCTGTAACATAAAAACAATTTTGGAGAAAAATTCATTCTTCAAAATATATCCATGTAAAAAACCAAACAGTAATGTAGACACAAGATTTTATGTCAGTCTGTTCTATTATTTAAGAAGGGCTGACACCACGGAAAAGCTGTCCATTTCCGCCTGCAACACTGGCATCCCCAGTGGGCACTAGGCCAGGTCCTGACTGTTCCACTTCAGAGCCAGCTCACTGCTTCTGGCCTAGGAAATGAGGCAGAACCTGGTCCAAATCCTTCGGCTCCTGGACCCACATGAGAAACTAGGAAGAAGCTCTGCTTCCTGGCTTCAGACTAGCTCAACTCTGTCCACTCGGACCATGTGGAGAGTAAACCAGTGGACAGAAAAGCTCTTTACATAAGTGCATAGAAATAAATATAAATCTTGGTGGGGGGGGGAACAAAACCAACAAGCACAACCCCAAAAACCTGACCAGTCTTAATATTCTCTGATCTCAGAGTTAAGATGTTAAAAGATCTGGTAGTCAGATTTTTTTTTTTTAAGATTTTATTTTTATTGCAAAGACAGATTTAGAGAGGAGAAAGATCTGTCTGTCAGTTCATTCATCAAGTGGCCACGGCGGCTGGAGCTGAGAGAATCTGAAGCCAAGAGCTAGGAACTTCTTCCAGGTTTCCCAAATACTTTGGGGAGTCCTCTAATGCTTTCCCAAGCTACAAGCAGGGAGCTAGATGGGAAGTGGAACAGCCGGGACCACAAACTGGAGCCCATATGGGATCCCAGTGAATGCAAGGTGAGGATTTAGCCATTGACCTGGGCTCCCCAAAATTTTAAAAAAGATTTAATTTCATTTTTGTCCTCTGGTTCTCTTCCCAAACGGACACAACAGCCAGAGCTAAGCCAATCCAAAGCCAGGAGCCAGGAGCTTCTTCAAGATTTCCCAAGTTGGTGCAGTGGACGAAAGAGTTAAGCCATCCTCCTTTGTTTTCTCCGGCCATAAGCAGGGTGCTTGATCAGATGTGGTGCCACCAGGCTTAGAACTGGAGCCCACATAGGATGCTGGCGTTGCAGGTGGAGGCTGGTCCCACCACCACACCAGCCTCAATCATGAAGTTTTTATAAAACACAAACAAAGTATTTTCACTGACTCTGCCAAAAAGTACATTTATTAATGCAATCCCCCAAGAACCACAGGAAATTGTCTAAAATAGATTCCAGTTATGATTTTTTATCTTACCGAGGTTTTTGGAATGGTCGACCCATATTCATAGCAGCAGCATTTGTTTTAAAAGATCCTGGTGTATTAAAGCCATTCATAAAGCTACCATTGGGAAACGGAGCCTAGAAAAAAATTTTATTGTTTACACAATATTAATGGTTAACATAACATTTGGCATGAGGGTCTTAGGAAATCTCAGTGAGGTAAATCTATCAATTTATTCTGCAGGCTAAAAATAACCCAAAATGTTAATTATTTATTTTTATAATATTTACTCCAATTAATGCCTGATTCATAAACAATAAGTTAACTACTTTATTAATTAATGAACATGTTCAGACAAAAATTTCCGAACATAAAAGCATTTCTAAATTCTTAAAAATTGTAGGAACCATATAGTCATTTATGTTTATTTAGTAGGAAGGAGTAGATAGGCATATTATTAAAAGCCAGAATGTATCAAAATCGACACTAAGTAAACTCTTAATCCAACTTGCATTAAAAATTTACTATTTTATGTAACTCCATAAAGATCTCTTACCAATGGTGTTTCAAAGTAAGGTGCTGGATTTGGAGACCAAGAATGAGGCACAATACTGTAGACCGAGAACTGCTGGTGAGGGTTATACACCGGCTGCACAAAGACTGGTGAGGCATACTGTGCTTGAGCTGGAAGGGGCTGGTTATACAGGCTGGTATCCATTAATCGATAACCATTCTTAGCAAAAAAAGTGTTGATGGCTTTTATCCTGGCCTAAAAGCAAAAAGGAGTACTAAATGATTAAGTTTTTAACTTCACAAATCAGTGCAGCCCAAAAGAAAGAGATGACAGCTTGAATTAACAGTAATAGAAGCCAGCATTGTCGAATAGCTGTTAAGCCACTGGCTGCAATTCAGGCGCTCCTATAGGTGCGAGTAATTTTAATAACAGATTTCCCGAGACTTGAGAAGAGATTACATCTGTCAGATAGACATCGAAGTAAAACTTGATGCTGTGTCAAGGTACGCTTTTACAAAGAATTGCTATTTGCAAAGATTTTAAATGTACGTATGAACCTGTTCAAGCAGTACATAATACAAGTCAGAAAAATCCTTAAAATCACTACAAATTACAATTTTTTAAAATTATCGAACAATTTTTTGGGGGCTTTCACCTCCTTGTTGTATTTATAAATATTTCTTACCATGATTGGCTTGCCCTGAAAAGTTTTAACTTCTTCTCTTAAGTATTTAAAAGCCTGTGAACAAAGTGAAAAGAAACTTTCGTTACCACTCAAACATTCATGGAAGCCACATCTACCTGACCATGAGTTAGGAAGCAGTAACTGTATTCTCTGAATAAACAAAAAATGCTGTAAGTGACTCCTCTGAAAAGAGGGAATAAAAAACTAAAAATGTAAGACATTCTCAGTTACAGTTTATGCTGACTATAGTACTAAATATACTCTGAATCTATATATTTGTATGTAAATATGTGTATAATTTATATATAAATATACATATACTATATATTGAGATTCAGAAATTCATGGGCAAAACCTTAAAAACGAAAAAGAAAAGAAAAGAAAAGAAAAGAAAAGAAAAGAAAAGAAAAGAAAAGAAAAGAAAAGAAAACAAAAGAAAAGAAAAGAAAAGAAAACAAAGAAAGAAAGAAAGAAAGAAAGAAAAACAAATGAAGCCCGGAATTGTGGTGCAGGGATTTAAGCCCCTGACTGTGCCACCGTCATCCCATACGGGCACAGACTTGAGTCCAAACCAGCTGGCTGCCCAGGCTCCTGGGAAAGCAGCAGAGCTCAACCAGCCGGGCTGAGACCTGGAAAAAGCTTCTGGCTCTTGGCTTCCATGTGGCCAGCCCTAGCCACTGTAGCCATTTGGGAAGTGAACCAGCAGATAAAATATCAGTCTCTTTTTGTCTGTAACTCTGTTTTTCAAATAACTGTATCTTAAAGAAATACAAAAACCTTAACCTGAAATAACAGTGACTGCTGAGTAAACAGTCTTCAATACTCTGATTTTTAAAAAAGATATTATTTATCTCAAAGGCAAAGTTACAAGCACAAGGGAGATGATGATATTTTTTAGAAAAAGAAAAATCGAATTTTAACTGGAAATGCAGATTCCACAGAAGGAAAGAGACACAGAGAGACCTTTCACCCACTGGTTCACTCCTCAAATGGCCACCTCAGCCAGGGCGGAGCTCTTCTGATGCTAGGAGCCAGGTGTTTCTTCCAGGTCTCCCACATGCGTTTAGGAGCCCAAGGACCTGGGTCAGCCTCCGCAGCTTTCTCAGTGTGTAAGTAGGCAGCTGGACTGGAAGTTGGAAGAGCCAGGACATGGAACTGGTGCCCATGCAGGATGCTGAAACTGACACACTGGGGACTGGGCTTGCCACTCCGCTGTGCGGACCCCAAAGATTTCATGGTCGTATATGCACTGTTTTGCATCCCAATGGGTTGCCCATGTGGATGGCAGAGGCCCAACACTCAGGCCATCTTCCACTGTCTTTCACACAGAGGGAAGCTGGATTCTAAGTGGAGAAGCTGGAACTTGAACCAAAATTCATACGGCATGCCAGCACCACAAATTAAGGTGTACCGCATTATACTACAGTCACACCATCCCATATTAGTTTCGAAACAGTTTCAATATGTGTATAACTGTTTTGAAACTGAAAGTGAACAAGCTTTGGGCCCAGTGTGATAGTCTAGTGGCTAAAGTTCTCACTTAGCATACCCGGAATCCCATATAGGTGCCAGTTTGTATCTCAGCAGCCCCGCTTCCCTTCCAGCTCCCTGCTTGTGGCCTGGGAAAGCAGTCAAGGAAGGCGCGAAGCCTTGGGACCCTGCACCCACATACATGGAAGACCTGGAAGAAGCTCCTGGCTCCTGGGTTCAGACTGGCTTAGCTCCAACCACTGCAGCTCCTTGGGGAGTGAACCAGCAGATGGAACATCATTGTCTCTCCTTCTCTTTGCACACCTGACTTTTTTTTTTATTACATTGCATCATGAGACACAGTTTTACAGGCACTGGGATTCCCCCCTCCCCTCCCCAAATCCCGCTCCCCCCCCCATGGTGGATTCTTCCATCTTGTTGCATTAGCACAGATCAAATTCAGTTGAGATTTTTTTTCTTTGCAAGCATCTACAAAACATAGAGTCCAGCATCTTATTGTGCAGATAAGTTCAACAGTTTCATGGGGAGACAGTCTCTGGTCTGAAGGTACAGCCGAAAGAGTATCATCCCAATCAATTGAAAGCCCCGACATTACATCAGTAACAATTTATAACGTACCAGAATTAGTTGATAAGATATTGTGTAACCAGCATGTTCAAAGAGAGAGAGAGAAAACAACAACAACAACAACAAAAAGAGTACAAGTTCTGAACCACATCCTATGACTTCTACATTGACATTACAATTATTAGTTTATATACAGCTGGGTTCTATACACCTTAAAATGGCTATAGATTACTATTCAGCTGTCTCATGTCTACTTTAATTTTAGTATTTAGCAGTTCATAGTGTTGAAGCATGATTTTGCAGAACCTGGCTGTTTTTCGGGTAGTCTAGCTCTATAACTGTAACAAGACATATGTCAACAGTTTAGGTGAACAGTTTTAGGAGGGGTGTGCAGAGAAATCCTCAATACCCTAGTGAGAAGCAACCAATCTTCGTGTCCCACCCAGTGAGTTATAAGTGCATCCCCACTGCCCATTTCCTATTTCTAAGCTTTCCTCGCTGTTCTCCATCTATTCTAGGGGTTTTTTTTGTTTATTTGTTTGTTAATTTGTTTTGAGGGGTTTCTGGAGCAATCCTGATGGTCATTATGAGAGAGAATGGGGACCCAAAATTAGAACCAGGCAAGAATCAAAGAAAGCTCCTCTCCCTAGTCCCGAAGGAAGTTTACTGTTTTGTTTCTGCGGACTGCTCAGTGCTCCTGGTTGTCATTCTGATGACCTTGGATCCTGCAAGGCAGGGTATGGGCTTCTTCCATCCCATGTGGGAGACCCAAATGGAAATGGGTGACCTCAGAGTTCTTGGCCTCTGAAGACACTCCAATTCCCCGTGGTCTCCTTGGCGATTGGGATGTAGTCCTCGGAGCTCATACTGATAGTCCTTGGTGAGGATCTAGGAGTCTTCAGAGTTGAGATACAAGCTTCCTCCTGTCTACCTGCTCCACTCTGGGGTTCCCCCCTGCTCTGTGCATATGATTTCCTATTAAGAGGTTGTTGGGATTGCTCCTGATTCCCCCCATATGCCTTCATAGTTTTGCTATTGTCTAATGCTGATTTGAGTCTGTTGCCTATGAGTTACCAGTTATGATCCTGATAGGTTATACTTCCCCTCTTCCTCACACCTTCTTGGGTGATGTAAGATTTCTCTGCTCTCCCTCCCCCTTTCCGAGTAGCATAGAGCCTTACAAGTATATTAGGTTTTACAATTCTTTGATGTAGATCAGAAGCAGTCTGACTCATATCGATTATTGATTCATTGATTACTTCACTATATCTTATTGCATGAGATACAGGCTGTTTGGGGTTGAAATAATATTACTGTTTCAGATTGACATCAATTCATAACAACCACATCAACAACATCTGACTTTTCAATAAAAATAAATAAACCTTTAAAAAAACACTTTGTTCTTACCTGCTGTGCATCCGTGTCTGACTGGAAGGTGATATACCAGCTGCTATTGTGTGCAAACTCACAGCTTATCACCTTGGGGCAGTTTTCATTTTTGAACAGAGCTTTTACTTCCTAAAAAAGAAAACTTTGATGAACTCTTACAGTTTTTTTTGGTGTGTTAAGGCTGATCTCTTACTACATTCTGTTCCCACCTCTTTGCTCATTTGCAGTTTATAACCCTCTTCCTTTATTTTTCTGGTGAGGGTAGATTACTCTTTGAAACACACTGTGTACCAATATAATGCAAATTTTATTATGATAAAATCTTATTTTATGTTCAGAAAAAATGGAGTATTTCACTTCTAGTAGCAACTTCTAAAATCTCTTCAGTTTTCAGGTTGTGTTAACCAGAAACGACGACCTTTTTTTTTTCTACACCTTCTAGGCAGTATTCATGCATTCTCATTGCATCCAGATGCTTTCTTCAGGTGACTTACAGACTTGAGCTCTGGGTAAGCTTATCTCCATCATTAATATAACCAAAATAGGCTCCAACAAGTACACAGGTGAAAAAAAAAACACGATTACCAAAGGTGGCAAAATAGTTAGCAACAAGTAATAAGCACATAATATGAAGGGGAAAAAGAAAGAACCACAAGAGAAAGAAAAAAGTGTCTACTTAAACTAACAAGGGTTGGACACATGATTCAAAACACAAAGAAATTCTGGGCCCAGTGCAGTAGTCTAGTGGTTAAAGTCCTGGCCTCGAATGCGCTGGGACCCCATATGGCTGCCGTTTGTAATCTCAGCAGTCTGCTTCCCATCCAGCTCCCTGCTTGTGGCCTGGGAAAACAGCCAAGGACAGCCCAAAGCCTTTGGACCCTGCACCCGTGTGGGAGACCCAGTGGCTCCTGGCTCCAGATTGACTCAGCTCCAGCCACTGTGACAGTTTGGGGAATGAATCAGCGATGCAAGATCTTCCTATCTGTATATCTGACTGTCCAATAAAAAAATAAAAAACTAAATCTGAAAAAAAAAATCTGTTTGACTCTTATCTCCATTTTTACCATCAATTTCCATCTAGTCTTATAACGACTAATGTCTAAAGAAATTTTGATACTAATCAATGATTACCAAATGTTAAGTATGTTAAATATTAGAATCTGGTAGGTTAAACTGACTCAAAACATCCAACATCACTAGGCATCAATTTTTAAAAACTTATTAAGCTGAGTGGAAAATCAACATGAGACTAACCTGTATTTCAACCTTTTAATCACATTTTCAGCACACTGAATTTCAAAAGCCATGTACACACTTGTAAAATATCCTTGTGAAATAATAATCAAGCCATGACTTCCATGAACGTGGTAAACTATAATGGCAAACAGGTCACTACGGCATTCTTGGAGTTGTGTCTGAAAGGCCATTAGGCTGCCTCGCACTGATTTCCACCTCCAAGAACTCACTCACAGAGGCAGCAAGAACACCACAGTTCCCCCTTGGGAGGCCTGTCTGGGTAGGAGTCCACTTCTCAACTAAACAATCATGCTGAGCAGGCACGAAGTCTGGCCTGAGCTCCTAGCTCCTGTGCAATTGGGGAGGTTATCAGAAAGGAGATCTCTGTCCAACAAAAAACAACATTAAAAATCTTAGAACCATTCCCCAAATATTTCTAATTCACTTGAATGTATGATATGTTACTTTAAATCTTGGTGTAATCCCTATTAATCCTTTAATATGTGAGAACAGTTATGCACGTGGATTTATCTGAACTTAGAGTCAACAAGTTCATTTCATCATAGGACCAACATAGTAGGTTAGCAGGTTAAGCTACTCCCTGATACACTGGCACTCCACGAGTGCCAGTTCCAACTGCAGCTGCCCTGCTTCTGTGTAGCTCCCTGCTGATCCACTTGGGAAAGCAGTGGAAGACGCCCAAACGTGCAGGCCTCAAGCAGCCATGTGAGAGACTGCAGACATCAGGGAAGCAAGTCAACAGATCAAAGACTGATTTCCCACCACTCCACAACTCTGAATAAATACAGAAAAGATTTTTTTACAAGTTTTACTTGAAACAGATTTGAGAGAGAAAAGGAGACATGAAAAAGAGCGGTATTCCACCCACTGGTTTTATTCCTAAATGGCCTCAACAGACAGAGCTGGACTAATCCAAAGCTGGGAGCCAGGAGCTTCCTCTGGGTCTCCCACACAGGTGCCCAAGGACCTGAGCCGTCCTCCCTTGCCATAAGAAGGGAGCAGAAGTGGAACTGGAGCAGTCAGGACACCAACTAATGCCTCTATGTGTTTAGCCTACTACGACACCATGCCAAGCCCTTGAATAACGGATGTTGAAAATAACTGTAATCTACCTGACTGAATCTTTTTTTTTTTAAGATTTTTTTTTTTATTATTATTTTTTTATTGGAAAGGCGGATATACAGAGAGGAGAGACAGAGAGGAAGATCTTTTTGGGCCGTCCTCGACTGCCTTCCCAGGCCACAGGCAGGGAGCTGGAAGGGAAGCAGGGCTGCCGGGATTAGAACCGGCGCCCACATGGGACCCCGGGCGTGCAAAGCGAGGACTCTTAACCACTTGCGCCACCGCGCCGGGCCCTACCTGACTGAATCTTAAAAGACTACCACTACAATCACTTTCCTTCATTTTTTTTTTTTTTGTAAAATTATTTATTGGAAAACCAGAGATAAAGGGGAAACCAAAAGAAATTTTCTGCGACCCATTCATCCCCCAATTGGCCACATGGCCAGAGATGAACAGACAAAAACTGGCATTCCATCTAGGCTTCCCATGCAGGTGACAGGGCCATTTTCCACTGCTCTCCCAGGGGAGTCACACTGTAAACGCTATCCCTGAGATTTAAAGTAACAATCTGGGTTTAGCCCAACACTCAGATATGAAATGCCTGCCATCTCACAGGCAGCGCTGGTGTTCTCTGGTGACTTTAGCCTTGCTTTATTTTTAAAAACAATTAATATAGTACTGCTTTGTTCCTTTTGTTTTTCAAATACATGCACTCTATATATTCGGAACATGAATCACAACAGCCATAAAATTTTCTTAACAGTCTTTTATATTCCAGATACTGCTCTAAAACTCTTCATAAAATTATTGTCTGGTTTACTGGATGGGGAAAAAAGCTAAAAGAGTCATTAAATCGCAAAGTTTGTAAGTTAAACTTTCAATTCAAATCCAGATCATAGCCTAAGCTCCTTAATTCAGATTTATATGTATTTTTAAAAGACACTGATGGCCCTAATGGCCGCCGTCCTCCATCGCTCGCCCAGGTCTGCGGCAGGGAGCTGGACAGCAGGTGCAGCAGCCCGGACACAAGCTGGAGTGCGCATGGGGCGCCAGCGTGGCAGGCAGTGACTTTACCTGTTACACCACACTGCCAGTCCCCTGATTTATTTTACTTCTGAACAGTATACTTCCCCCCACTCAGGAATTTTTCTTTCAGTTTGTTACTTTTGACATGCATAGTCCACAGTGGCAACTTGTTTTCTAATTTCTCTATTCAGTCTACACAATGCTGAGTAACATGGGCAAAAATATTTAACTATTAAGGTATTAAATTTTTTTATGTGCAGACTGCCAGAATTTCTTTTCCAAATGGCTAATCAATTACAAGATATTAGTTACTAGTTCATCTTCACTTTCTTTAACTTATGGTGCCTTAACATTGCCGCTTTTTGTGAAAACTGTTGAACAGTGTTAACAAAAACAGGCTTAGGGCTGGCATGGTGTACAAAGATACAGGTGCTGCCATGTTAACTGAGCCTCAGCTGCTACACTTTTGACCAAACTCCGTATGGGTGCACCACGGTAGGCAGTGGAGGACGGCCCGACTGCTGGGGCCCCTGCACCCATGTGGGAGATCTGGAAGAGGCTGCTGGTTTCTTGCTTCTGTCTGGCCCAGCCATGGCCATTACAGACCTCTATGGAGTCAAAAAGTGGACAGAAGATTACACTCTCTGTAACCCTGTCTTTCAAATAAATAAATCTTAAAAAACAAAATCAAGTTTAAATCCAGACTTAATGGCCTGTGAATTCCAGGGCAAGTCACAGAACCATCCTAGTGCTCTATCTGCTACTGTAAAGGACAGAACGTGGTATTGTCATACACCTCACACCAGAGTCCACTTCTGGACTATGCTACTCATTCAAACATTACTTTATCGTGGTATCTACTCCAAATTATCACTCTGAATGCAGCTAACTGCCAAGGTTAGCTCCACCTTGTTAGTCTTGTGTATCATTCCAAAACTTAACAACGAATACAAGTTAGCTTCATTAAATCACCGACTCCTGACTTACCTCTACCGGTGTTGTCTCGGGAATCTCTCGGAGGATCACAATGCAACGCTTATGACTCGGTCTCACCTTTTCACCCTTCTCATCAACCTGTACCATGGGGGAAGCTGAAAACAATTTTTGGGAGAAAAAAAACGGGTTTTATGTAGAAGTGACAAGTAGCACCATTAACACTGTCATCAAATAACTACTCATTTCAATTTCCCCCTGAGCAAAATTAGCAGACATGAGGTTAATATGCTGAAGGCCAAAATAATGATAAAACATTTTTGGGGGACTGGTATGTAAGAGTATTGCAAATATGAACTGAACAATATTAAAGATACCTACTAAGCAGTATGACACTATGTTGATACTGACAAGAGGGCTTCTTTGCAATTATCAGATTCTTCATTCAGTAAGAGGTTAACAAATTTACAGTACCAAAAAAATCATTGTACTTGCATTTACATCAATACGCTTTACGATCACAATTACAGAGACCCAGAGCCATGTTCTAGATGTTGACTATAGGGAGTACGGAATAAAGATGGTCCCATGTAGTCAAAAGGTTTATTTCTAATTCCTTCAGAAAGGTAACCTAACCCCCTAAGTGAGTAAGTAGAAATGAAGTCTAAAGGCCTGACTTGAAAATCATTTTGAGAAGATTTAGTACATGCAATTGAAAGGTAGAGTGACAGAGTGGAAAAGAGAGATCTTTCGGTTGCTGGTTCATTCCACAGATGGTTATAATAACTTGGGCTTGGCCATACCAAAGCAGGAAGTCCGGAACTCCACCCAGGTCTCCTGTAACAGGGCAGAGGCCACAGTATGAGTCATTTTCTACTGCTTTCCCAATTGCATTAGCAGGGGGCTGGATAAAAAGCAAAATGGTGAGCCTGGCGCCATGGCCTAGTGGCTAAAAGTCCTCGCCTTTAACGCCTGGAATCCCATATGGGCACCGGTTCTAATCCTGGCAACCACACTTTCCATCCAGCTCCCTGCTTGTGGTCTGCGATAGCAGTCAAGAACAGCCCAAAGCTTTGGGACCCTGCACCCGCGTGGGAGACCTGGAGGATTTTCCTGGCTCTGGATGGGCGCAGCACCAGCCTTTGTGGTCACTTGGGGAGTGAATCATTGGACGGAAGATCTTCCTCTCTGTATATCTGACTTTCCAATAAAAACAAATTAAAAAAAAAAGCAGCAGAATGGCCACAAGTAGAACAGGTGTTCTGGCAGAGGATGCCAGCACTGCAGGTGGAAGCTTAACACGGTATTTCACAAAACCAGCTTCTGTAACTCATTCTGAGCATATTCAGCTGGAATCGGGATCAGAAGGAGTAGCCAGGATACACTGGTACTCAAGCATGGGTTCTGAGTATTCTAAGTGGTGGGTTAACTTGTGCCAGAAGCCTACCCCTAGAAATAAAAACTTGTTAGCAAATTTCCGAGCAGGGTTCATCAGCCTGCAGGCCGCACTCATCAACAGACTATGAACTTAGTTGAGAATAAAAGAAAGCAGTTCACTGAAAACATTAGCATTTTTAACTTGAAAAACTGAAGTTTTGCTCCAAATATGTGTGATAGATATTAGACTGTAAAATGTAGCCCTTACTTTGGTTTCACAACTTTGAAATAGGGTGTGGGTATCCGGCACAGCGACTATGACACCGTTTAAGATGCCCACATCCCAGACCAGAGAGTTTGCAATTGATTCTTGCATCCCACTCCGATTCAGCCTCTTGCTAACGCACTCCCTGAGTGCCAGCAGATAATGGCGCTGGGATTTTGGTCCATGCAACCTCTGTTAAATTTTAGGCTCTTGGTTCTGGCCTAAAGCAGCCCCAGGAGTCAGATAACTGGTGAGCGAGCCAGTCAATTACATATTCTCTCTTCATCCCTGCTTTCAAGTAAGTATAATTTCTTTTTTACAGTTTGCAACAGGGGTGGGCATCAACTCAGCAGTTTAAGGTACCAGCGAGGATGTTTGCATCCCATGATGGAGCTGGGTTTGAGTCCCGGCTCTGTTTTCTCTTCCAGGACCCTTCTTATGCACATCCTGAGATGCAGATGATGGCTCAAGCCATGGGTCCCCGCCACAAAGATGGGGGACACAGACTGCTGCTCAGGCTCCAGGCTTCAGCCAGGGCTGTTGTGGACATCTGGACAATGAACCAGCGGATAAGAAGCTTTTGTTTCTCTTTTTCTATCTGCCTTCTAAATAAAGTAGAAGTAAAATTTTTGAAATGTTTGAAATAGACTGCTTAAAAGGGTGTGATACTGACAATCTTCTAGTAGCTTCCAATAGCCCGATAAAATGCGATTAGAAGAAGCATTTAAGACACTGGTTGGGCACCAGAAGGCTCTACCTCAGGTTCCGACTCAGCATCTTTTTTTTTTTTTAAAGATTTATTTATTCGGCCAGGCGCAATGGCGCAAGTGGTTAAGTCCTCGCCTTGCACGCCCGGGATCCCATATGGGCACCGGTTCTAATCCTGGCAGCCCTGCTTCCCATCCAGCTCCCTGCCTGTGACCCGGGAAAGCAGTCGAGGACGGCCCGAAGCTTTGGGACCCTGCACCCGCATGGGAGACCCGGAAGAGTCTCCTGGCTTTGGATCGGCATAGCATCGGCCCGTTGCGCTCACTTGGGGAGTGAATCATCAGACGGAAGATCTTCCTCTCTGTCTCTCCTCTCTGTATATCTGCCTTTCCCATAAAATATAATAAAAATAAATCTTATAAAAAAAAAAGATTTATTTATTGGAAAGTCAGATATACAGAGAGGAGGAGAGACAGAGAGGAAGATCTTCCATCCGATGATTCACTTCCCAGGCAGCCGATGCTATGCCAATCCGAAGCCAGGATCCAGGAACTTCTGGGTCTCCCACGCGGGTGCAGGGTCCCAAGGCTTTGGGCCGTCCTCGACTGCCTTCCCAGGCCACAAGCAGGGAGCTGGATGGGAAGCGGAGCTGCCGGGGTTAAGAACTGGCACCCATATGGGATCCCGGCGCATTCAAGGCGAGAACTTTAGCCACTAGGCCACGCCGCCGGGCCCCCCACTCAGCATCTTAACAGCACACACTCTGGGAGGCAGCGAATAATGCCTCAAGCTGCTGGGATACTGCCAGCCACACAGGAGACCAGGAAGGAATTGTGGGTTTCTGCCTTTGGCCCAGCCCAGTTCAGTCCAGTAAGCATATTTGGGAACTAAATCAGTGGATCTGTTCATAGCTTCTTTCAAATAAAACGAAGAAAAGGGAGAGAAAGAGAGAACAAGAGAGAGAAATAAAATAAAATGCTTCTCCTTGCTAAGCTGCTACCAAGATGAACAACCAAAGTGCAGAAATATAGAAGAGGTGCCTATACTCACAGCCAGCAAAAGAAATGACTGGAATAAAACAGCCAAAAAAGGAAAAACACCAGTCAAATATCAATCCCCTTGTTAATCCAAAATACATGTCAAAAAACAAACAAACAAACAAACAAAGCCTACAAGCACACTGAAAGGCATGTTTTACATACATCTCAAAACTTCAAGAATTAGATCAGGATCTGTGGTCAGCTTTTTTATTTCTTCCATGTTGGCAACAGTCCAAATTGGAACAAATTGATCACTATCCATTTGAGACATCAAGTAAAGATCCTTGGACAGATTCTCTCTAGAAGGAAAGACAAAAGCATGTCAGATAAGACAAGCAATGCTTCAAGCAAAAAGGTGTCATTCATTGTTATCACGCTATCAGAAATAACACATGAACTCCTAAGAGTTCAACCTGAAAGGCGCTACTGTAATATTAATCAATGACAACTCTTTGAAAAAGCTTCTGATCTCAAAACATTTCTGCCTCATTAGCTGTGGATTTTAAGATTTTATGTAATGTTATTGATATGGAGAGAAGCGTAAACAGCATGCTGAAACATTTTATCATTGCTGTGAGAATATGCATGAGAAAGCAGTTTCATTTTTAGTTGGGTCATGGAGAAGTTTTTATTGTACCTACATATATAGCAAAGTGTACACTGTTATACACACTTGACTTCTGGGGGAATAAGGCAGCAGGCAGATGACATTCTCACAAACCTTAAAAACTCAAGGAGATTGCCATGATCACTTTATTTAAGATTGTAATTGCCCTGTCACTCCTGAAACCGCTGCCGATGCACATAATCTACTACTGAATTTTCTTCCATGACATTACTTGTAAATTACTTCTTTTAATTTGATTTTGTATTTCTCAGATTAAATGTAAGTACTATATTTAATCTTTGTTTTTCAGTACTGTGTTTCAGCACCCTAGTGCCTGGCAGAGTAGGCTTGCAGCATGGTGTGTAGGCTAAGTTCTCCCCAGCAGTGAGGGCATCCCACACGGGCGCCAGTTTGTGCCCTGGTTTCTCCACTTCTGATCCCACTCCTTGTTTATGACCCAGGAAGGCAGCAAAGCGTGGCCCAAGGCCTTGGGTCCAGGTGCCCACATGGGAGACCAGAAGTTACTCTTGACTTCAGATGGGCTCAGCTCTGGTAAACCAAACCAGCGGATTGAGGACTATCGAAATACTCCAAATACTTTCCCTCAGCTGATGGTCTCTAAGGCTTCATCAAACAAGAAAGGTGTGGAACCCTCCCCCTGCTTCCCTATGGACACAGAGGGCGGCCCACCCACCTTCCTTGGTGTCCCTAGTCAGGGGCCCCCATGGGCAGGCATCCCTCTCAATTGTGTAAGCAATATTGAAAGAGAATAAAAATTAAAACCAAAAAAACCCCCCCAAAAATCTAAGTCTGCATCTGTTCAAAGGAAAATCATCTCACTGAACGTTTGCGATCTCTATAGTAAGAACACCATCTTGGCACACTCACTAGTGCAGTACACTCTAACTCTAGCTCAGACACATTAAATGACACCAAAAGACATCACTGAAAGGAAATGATAATCACTGAACTCTTCCACTGTTCCATGGGTATTTTACATCTCTTATAATAACAACTCAAAAATGAAGGACCATCAATAAGAAAACTGATTAGATACCGTGAAAAACAGAATTCTAACTGTTTCCTCAGACATTCTTTTAGATCTTCTGTGGACATTCCTGAATTGCTTTCGTCTGATGGTGGAAAAGAAGAAAGGAGGAGTTAGTACCATATCACCACAGGCAGTAAACGTCACACACTGTGGTCATACACTACAAAGCACTTACAATGGAAGATCTACCACCAACACATAGCCACAATAATTTCTATAGCAAAGAACTCAACTTCTAATTTCTATAAAAAATTAGCATTTTTATAAAACAGCTTCATATCAAGAATCGTTCATACTCACAAAGTACCATTCATCACAGAAGTAGCTGGCTACCATGTAGTAAAACCCTGCCTGGAACACTTATAAATGTGATTAACACCTAATTCCTTTCACGGCAGTCAAACAGTCAAAGCAGCAATAACATAAATTTGAAAACAGGGGCCCGGCGCGGTGGCGCAAGTGGTTAAGGTCCTCGCCTTGCACGCCTGGGATCCCATATGGGCGCCGGTTTTATCCTGGCAGCCCCGCTTCCCTTCCAGCTCCCTGCCTGTGACTCGGGAAGGCAGTCGAGGACGGCCCAAAGCTTTGGGACCCTGCACCCGCGTGGGAGACCCGGAGGAGGCTCCTGGCTTTGGATCGGCATAGCATCGGCCATTGCGCTCACTTGGGGAGTGAGTCATTGGACGGAAGATCTTCCTCTCTCTCTCCTCTCTGTATATCCGCCTTTCCAATAAAAAAAAAATATATATATATATAAAATCTTAAAATAATAATAATAATAAAAATCTTTTAAAAAACTTTGAAAACAGGAACTAGCTAAACCAAATGATATGCATATAATGCTCATCTCTTGGCATAAATCTAATGCTAGTCAGTCTCTAAACTTCTCCAATACTCCTGTTCTGCTTCTTTCATTTTAGAACACTCGACCTTCCTAGGCTTACTTAAAGCAAAGACCCAGACGCACAAATGAACTCAAGGAGCCTTCTATGCTTTCCAATGTTTAAAGGCAAAACATGAGTCCCTTTTCCCAGAGTACAAAACTAGGAAATCCATCACTCCCATTAGACAGTTTCATCACATATTAGAATGAATATGTCAATGTATCCTTTCTTAAAAAGTGCTACTAACAGAGGCTATATTTCCTATAAACATGTAGGTAGCTAGACATGTATGAAGCTAAATAATAGCTCTTAAGATGTTAATTACTAACATATATTGCTACCCAAGAATCAAAGTGATAAATGTAAACTTCATTAAGAATGATTGGGGCCTGGCACAATAGCCTAGTGGCTAAAGTCCTGGCCTTGAATGCGCTGCGATTCCATGTAGCTCCCTACTCCTCGCCTGGGAAAGCAGTGGAAGACAGCCCAAGACCTTGGGACCCTGCATCCCGTGGGAGACCCGGGAGAGACTCCTGCGGCTGTTTGGGGAGTTAACCAGTGGACGGAAGATCTTCCTCTCTGTATATCTGACTTTCCAATAAGCTTTAAAACAAAAAACAAAACAAAAAGAGACAAGGACAGTGGATTGAGGGCTGGGGAGTGGGTAGAGGTTAGGATACTGAGCCCTCCTTTTATCAATGAATTATAAAGTTTACCAGAAACATCATATATTTGGTAACTCAGATCTTCTGGTCCTAAAATTATTCCATCTGTGGACTCTTCAACGCCTGCAGAATTTCTTGTGTTTTCACAAGATGAATACATTACTTCATATTCCTTACACATATCTTCTGAAAGCTCTGTATTTCCTGTATTAGAGACAAAATACTTGATGTATTCAGAAATTCTTTAAATCATAGTTTCAGAAACTCTTGGCATTGTATGTCTCCTCTGACAACATTTCTAGGAATTCTACCAATTGGAAAAATATCTATGGAGCTTTAAATGCCATTTCCCCTAAGAAAACAGTTTTGATCATTATGGACAAAATGAATAGCAGGAACTAAAATTTCATATAGTACTATCTGTGTTGTCACATTTTTCCATGAACTTGACTCATTTAATTGTCAGAAAGTCCTACGTTACAGGATGGAGCCTGGGAATGTGTAGCTTGTGGGTCACCGAAAGTCGGGCAATTGCAGAAGGGATTCACAACAACAAATCTGCAGTAAGCTAAGATTCAAATTGCTAGTTTTCTATGGTCAGACATGTCATAAAAACACAAATGGCCCTTGGCAATTTCCGCACTCCTGTCATGGGTAACTGTTTTTGCTTTCCAGACAAAATAAATAGTACAGTCAAGCCACATCATTTGACCAAGGTCAAAGAGTAAACAAACAGCAAAGCCATTGATTTCAGAGAAAAACTAAATTATAAATGGGTTGGAAGTTAGGCTTAAAGATGCAACTACTACTTGGAATTAGTGACAACCTATTTAGGTTAGATGTGAGAGGATCATACACAAGCTGTACACTGAACACTTATAAATGTATTTAGTCTACAATGTTCTACAAACTGACTTGCCCACAGATTTAAACAAAATGTGATTTTGCTGAGGAACATTTAGCACCTACCTTCAGGAGAGGACCCTGAGGTGGCTGCTGGATCCGGCCAAGAGCTCTCAGCTCCATGAGGTGTGGCATCAGGATTCCCAGGAGGAATTTCTTGCCATACTTTGGCATTAGGATTTAAACCAGTTCCTTTAGACGTTACCTGCTAAATAACCAAAGGTTCTATTTGTAAAATTCAAAGGTGCGTTAAAAGAATTCAATTGTGAATTTACATAGGACTTCTCCATTACTTAAATGTGAAAAACTTTTCCTCCGTTGATATTAAATAAAATGAGATCAGTTAATAATGTAAACCCCTACAAACTACTTTTAAGTGGAAACACTGCCCTATCCCAGCCCACATGCAAATGTAAACACTATTCACAAATCTTTGAGGCACAAGTGCTTCTGTATTTATAGCAAGCTTTTCAGTTGTCTACAGCATAATTTCCCAGAGTATGCCATCATTTTACTCATTAAGCTGTGACAAAAACACTTGAACAACTATATCACTGAAAATCTGATCCCAAGTAAAAAGCTCAGTGACCTGCCTGACACTGGAGCGCCCCTTTCCTTCTCAGGTGTGTAACCTAACTATTGCTCCAAAGCACTGACATCTGAACTGATCTCCACAGATGATGGAATCACAGCGTGAGGGTTAGGATGCGAGGTGGAGGCATGCTGGTGCGAGTATGAAAAAGTGGAGAGATCCACCAATGTTCCTTTCACCTCACCCAAACCAACAGGACCTGCACCTTCTCACAGACAGTAAGATTCTGTGAACATTTCATCTTTTTCCAAAAAGTGACTTATGTTTCCTCAGTGGTAGGCCCCTATTCTAGATGACAGGTTCCTAAGGATAGGTCCAAAGGGCAGGGAAAAAATTAAGCTTATGATCTGGTGGTATCAGAAATTCCGCTTTCATGAAAAAGAACTGACACAAATTGGAGTAGGATTCTTGAGGCCCGTAGGTACTCTCCGAGCTGGGAAGGCACCAGGCACAGGCACAGGGTGGACAGACTCCGACCTGGGCTGCTGCTCTCAGCTGCAGCTTCCAGAAGGCAATGACGTCTCACAAGATCCCCCTGTATTCTTCACCTCAAGTTTCTTTGAATCAGTTTCCACACTATGCACGTTAACATCGTATATTTATGAACCAATGAAATTATATTCTTTAATTACATTCTATTGCTTCCCATGTTTCTTTTTTCATTACTTCCTTTCACAAACCAGAAAGAAACATTTTTAAACACAATCTGGGAAAAAGGAATCGACCCAATCCTCTTTTCCAGGTCGAGGTCCATTTCTATTTTGGGAGCAAAGGTTGAACCTTGAAATGCTAACAATGTTTAGAATTTCTAGGTGTATGACAAAGAGCATGTTTTTCTTGGTCATTTTTATCACTGTTTATAAAGTTCTCCACAGATCATTCATCTCTTGTCTGGAACAGAACAGCACTCTGCTTTTGGTGAATCACTGAGCTGAGTGATTAACGATCTTGTTATGTGAATTCTGTTACAGTGTGAATTCCTTTTATTATTTATCTTTAAAGATTTTATTTATTTTTTTTAATGAAAAGGAAGATTTGCACACAGGAGGAGAAACAGAGAATGATTTTCCATGTGCTGGTTCACTCCTCAAGGGGCTGAAATGGCTGCAACCCAGCTCATCTCAAGTCAGGAACTAGGAGTCCCTTCCAGGTCTCCCACGGGTGCAGGGTCCCAAGGTTTTGGGCCGTCCTCCACTGCTTTCCCAGGCCACAGGGAGGGAGCTGGATGGGGGGGCGTTCCAACTTTAGTATATGTGCTACTGAAGCAAGCCCTGGATGGGAAGTGGAAAAGAATGAGACAGGAACGAGGGCTCACATGGGAGGCTGACACTAGGAAACTGAAGATTAGTTAGCTGAGCCCCTCTTTACAAAATTTTTTTTTTTAATTTAAGAGACTTGGACAGAAAGGAAAACAGTTCCTACTGGCTGGCTTTTTCATTCCCCAAATGCCTGCAGACACAGACCCGGGAGATCGAAGACAGGGGCAGGCATTCAATCCATGTCTTCCGAAACGGTGGCAAGGACCTCAACACTTGAAACTATCACTCGCCACCTCCAAGAGACTGCCATCAGCCAGCAGCCGGACTCTGAGAAGCTAACACCGAAAACCACGCCGAGTCACTCAGAAAGAAGACACGCTATTTTAACCACTAAGCCAAATGTTTCCGAATGATACTGCAACAGAACTATGAGGATTTTGTGACAGCTCAGCTCTCTTGCCTTGTGTACAATTATTTAGTCTGACACCAAGTACTTTCAATAGAGAAAACCTACATTAACATTTTCATCCTCATTCTATCCTCTAGTCTTAGAGGATCAGATAAGCCCCATCCTGGAGAACTAACAGTAAGGTGCAACTCTCAGACTACTCTCAAACTTTTGAATCTTGGTAAGTACAGTCAAAGAGTACAATATTGAAAATTTAAGGAGTAAGATCTGTACCTGGAAAAATCATAATACAGAGGCCCTACAGCCTGTAGGAAGTACCCCTAACTCAAAACTTGCAATGCAGGCTGACAGTACCACTGTGACTGAGGCCACCAAGTGGCCACAACGAATGGAGCTGCACTGATCCAGAAGCCATGAGCCAAGAACCTCCTCCAGGTCTCCCACACGCAGGTGCAGGGTCCCAAGGCTTTGGGCCGTCCTCGACTGCTTTCCCAGGCCACAAGCAGGGAGCTGGGTGGGAAGTGGGGCCACAGGGACACAATTCAGCACCAATATGGGATCCAGGTCTTTAGCCACTAGGTTACCATGCCAGCTCCCCAATTTTTTAAGATTTATTTACTCTGGGGGCTGGCACTATGACACCACCAATAAAGCTGCTACCTATAGTGCCATCATCACAAAATGCATGCTCCTTGAGTCCTGGTGGCTCCACTACTGACCCAGCTCCCTGTACCCGAGAAAGCAGTGTAGAACGGCCTAATTGCTCGGGGTTCCCGAACCCATGGGGAAAATGCAGAAGCAGCTCCAGGCTCCCGGTTTCACATCTGTCCAGCTCTGCCTATCTAGGAAGTGAATTAATAGATAATCTTTCTGTCACTCCCATCTCTCTCTGTAAACACTCCTTTATGTCTTATTTGACATGTAGTGACACAGGCAAGAGAAAGCAAGAGATCTTTCACCTACAGGTTCACTCCCCAAATGTCCACAACTAAAGGGTTAGGCCCCAGCCAGCAGCTTCCTCCAGGTTTCCATGTGGCCGGCGAGGGTGTAAGCACTTAGGCCATCGTCCACTGCTTTTGTAGGAACCTTCAGCTAGCTGGGAGCTGGGTCAGAAGTGCAGTGGCCAGGAGTTGAACCGATGCCCATATGGGATCCTGGTATCACAATGCTGGTACCCATTTCCACATCATTCTCAGCAGGCACACATGCCCTTTAGAACGTATTACAAGATACTCCATTACTTTCTGGTTTGTACTATGCTAGAAAAGAAAACTCTCAGGAGAAAATGTTTTACTTGGTGCTGAGAAGCCTGTATCCCACATGCAGTGCCCAGGCTGAACTTCTGGCATTGGTCTGTTATTCCAGTGTCCTGTCATTGTAGACACTGAAAGGTGGTGGCACTGGCTCCTGTAACTAGGGTCCCGCCACTCACATGGAAAGCCTGGACTGAATTTCTGGTGTCAGCCTTGTCCAGCGGTGGCGTTGGCAGGCATTTGAGAAGTGAAAATGTGGACTGAATCTCCTTTTGTGCCTCTCTCAAAAGTTAAAAGAAAAAAAAGCAAAAAGCTGAGCTATCAGTTTTGCTGCCATTTTTTAAAAGATCATGTGTATGTGTTTTAGAGAGAGAGAAAGAAAGAATACATCTTCCAATTGCTGGTTCACTCCCCAGATGGTTGCAACTGCTGGTAGGCCTGATGGAAACCAAGATACAGGCGTTTCTCCAGATCTCCTGCAAGGATGGCAGGGGCCCAAGTACTTGGACCATCTTCTGCTGCTTTCCCCAGACCATGAGCAGACAGCTGGACTCAAAGTGGAGCAGGCGGGAGATGAAGTGGCGCCCCTGTGGGATGATGGCATTGCAAGAGGAGGTTTTAGTCACTATGCCTCAATAGCAGCGCCTTGGCTGCCATTTTCGATGTATCTTTTCTCTCTGGTTATTCTGCCTTTATCAAAACAATTTTTGCAGTTTTGTAATAATTAGTTCACTGGGTTCCGTGATAAACTCTTGCCATGAATTTTTAAAATTTCCAGCCTTTTTCTCCTCAATTATTGCCTTTCTATCTTAACTGTTCTATTATTTCCTTTTGGAAGCTCAGTAAAATATCTCTCATCTACTATGTTCCACCTATCAACTTCCCTTTCCATTTATTAGTCTAAAAGTAATTTCTTAATATCCTTCTTCCAGTCTATTAATTTTTTTTTTAAGATTTATTTTATTTTTATTGGAAAGGCGGATATACAGAGAGGAGAGGCAGAGAGGAAGATCTTCCATCCGATGATTCACTCCCCAAGTGAGCGCAGCGGGCCGATGCTATGCCGATCCGAAGCCAGGAGCCTCTTCTGGGTCTCCCATGCGGGTGCAGGGTCCCAAAGCTTTGGGCCGTCCTCGACTGCTTTCCCACAGGCAGGGAGCTGGGTGGGAAGTGGGGCTGCCAGGATTAGAACCGGTGCCCATATGGGATCCCGGGCGTGCAAGGCGAGGACCTTAACCACTTGCGCCACTGCGCCGGGCCCCAGTCTATTAATTCTTGTTGTCTCCGAGACATCGGGGCAAGCACGTTAAGGCATCCTACCCCAGAAAGCTGACCTCAACGCCCGCTCCTGCAGAAGTACCCAGGGGGTGGCACAAGATGGCCAGAATGCTTGAGCCCTGGCCACCCATTTGGAGAATATGGAGAACAGTTGAGTTTTTGGCTTCTGGCCTTGGCCCGACCCAGACACACTGTTGCAGTCATCTGGGGGACCAAACAGCGTGAAGGAACAGTTCTAGCTCTTTTCACTCTTTGAATGAACAACAGCAACAAACAGATACTGCTCAACTGGTTCAGTATGTTGCTAACTCCTTTTTAAAAATATTATTTCCTAATGTTCCTTATGTTCTTTTCTTTAATCTGTATTTGTTTGTTCTTAGTCACTCGTTCAGCATCTCCTCATATTTGTAGGGATTTTACGTTTAAATGGGTATTGAAATAACTTGTTTTCCTTTTGCTAGATGTCTGCCTTGGATAACTACCTACCCGGAATAATGTACTACTGAATGTAAAATGGAAATGTTGTATGCCTGAAAGAAACATGAAACCTGCCGTACCACAAGGCTGGCCTCAATTTTTAAAAAAGATTTAATTTATGTATCTGAAAGGGTTACAGAATGAAGGACAGAAAACAAGGCAGATACTCTGCATCTGCTGCTGGATCATTCCCAAACGGCCACAGCGGCTAGGAATGGGCCAGGTTGAAGTCAGGAGTTTAATCTAGAGTTCCTAATACCGATGCAGAGGCCCAAGTACTTAAGTCATCTTGTGCAACCTTTCTCAGTCCACTAGAAGGGAGCTGGCTCAGAAACAGAGCAGCTGGGACACAAACAAGCGCTCACGTGGGATGCCAGCATCTACATAATTCATCACGAAGAAGTCATTTCTAGGCATGTTTAAGCAGTGGTTACAAGCCTGCATCCATCAAGATACAACAGGACTGAGTTGCAACTAGTATATATACTGAATGGATTTGATTTGGGTGGTTCTTTCCTCTTTTTAAAGATTTTACACAGAGAAGGAGAGACAGAAAGATCTTCCATATTCTGGTTCACTCTCCAGGTGGCTGCAAGGGCTGGAACTGCACTGATTGGAAGCTAGAAGGTTATTCTGGGTTTCCCACATGGGGGCAGGGTTTCAAGGCTCTGGGGCTGTCTTCTACTGCTTTCCCAGGACATAAACAGGGAGCTGGATGGAAAGTAGAGCAGCAGGGATACAAACCCGTGCCCATGTGGGATCCCAGTACATGCCAGACAAGGATTTAGCCACTGGGCCATCACACATACAGGCATTTTTGTAAATGCAGGCAAAGAATCAACAATTGGGAGGTCCCAAATCTTTGAAGCATCCACTATGCAGTAGCTGGGTCTTCGTCAACCATATGAGACCTGGATTGGGTTCCCAGCTCCTGACTCCAAGCCTGGCTGTTTCAAGTATTCGGAGAGTAGACTGACCCTTAGCTTTCAACTTGAAATAAAACTTCAAAACAACAAACAAACGAAACAGGACTATATATCCTACAATAGTTCCTCCCCCAGTCATTTATAATTTAGTTTTTGGCAACTTCTAACACTCATTGTCAAGTGCAGTCTGAAAATATTAAGAAAATCATACAGAAATGGGCAACTTACTATTTTCAAATTATAAGCATAAGGTGCTACTCACACAGAAGTGAATCATGCCTTTACCCCGCATTCAACTGCAGCCTGGGGCTTCAGCCCATCTGCGATCAGTGTGTGTTTCAGACTGACCCCAACGTGCTAGAGAAGTGATGCAACCCATTCAGATGCCAAGAAGACGTAAAATACTTAGGATAGGAAAACTGGAAGCTCTCAAGATAAAAATTCTTAAGGATGCTAACATCTATAATACTAAGATACTGTGAGCTTAACCTCATCTCGCTACAGTACAGTGCTACAATTGCTTCATTTTGTTATTCTTGCCACTCTGTCACAATGTCTTCTTCATTAATAGAACTCTATCATAGGAATGTTTAAATAGGAAAAGCACAACATAAACTGGTCTTACTCAGGTCTGCGGGCACCCACTGGGGGTCTTGCAAGTTATCTTAGGATGTAAATATGGGGAAAGTATTCCAAAGAAAGATCTTCAGCTAGGGGTTCACTCCCCATATGACAACAGCCAGGGCTGGACCAGGCCAAATCCTGGAGCCCAGGTATGTGAGCCATCTTTCACTGCTTTCCTAGGCAGCCAGCAGAGGGATGGACTGGAAGCAGAGCAGCTGGGATTCAAACCAGCCCTCCCACACAGAATGCCAGAGTTACCACAATATCAGATCCACTTTATAATCTATGTTAACACATAAAATTATTGTACATAAATATGTGTGTATATAAAAACACTGAAAAACCTAGAAATTTCACACCGCCACATATTAACAACATAATTCCAAATTACTAAGATATTTGCAAACAGAAAATATGAAAAGCGGCTGGCCATGTGGCACAGGAGGTAAAGCTGCTGCCTACCATGTTGGTTTGAATTCTGAATGCTTCATTTTCAATTCAGCTCTCTGCTAATGTGCCTGTGAATGTAGTCGAAGATGGCAAGTGCTTGGGTCCCTGCACCCAGATGGGAGACCTGGAAGAAGCTCCGGGCTCCTGGCTTCAACCTGCACAGATGCAGCAGTTGCAGCCATCGAGGGAGCAAACAGGCAGATGAAAGGTCTCTCCCTCTCTCAAATCTGCCTTAAAAATACATAAATAAACCATAAAAAAGCATAGTAAGTTAAGTGCTGGCATCCCAACACTTAGGATGTGAGGGTACCAGTTTGAATCCTGGCTGCTCCAATCTGGCTCTCTGCTAATGCCCTGGGAAAGCCGTGGAAGATGGTCCCAGAGCCTGGGCCCTGCCACCCATGTGGGAGACCCAGAGAGCTCCAGGTTCTTCTGGACTTTTGACGGGCTCAAAAAAAGGGAGGGACAGGCAGGAATAATTAATTACAAAATAACATTTTTGCCTAAGAACTGCCCAGACTTAACACCTTTGTGACAGGTTTAAGAACTAATCAGCTCACCACTATAAACATGTCACTTTTTTGAAGGACTGGCAACGTTCAATCAAAAGCATTAAATGTACACCGTTTTTGTCTCAGAAATTTACTTTTCAGATTTACTTTAATGAGAGTGAGCAGTGGCTATTTGGCAGAGTGGCTAGCACTGTCTGGTTCAGGCCTGGGCTTTGCTTCTCGTTCCAGCTTTCTGCTCATTCACACCCTTAGCAGGCAGCAGACTTGGGTCCCTACATCCAAGCAGGAGTTCCAGGCCTGTGGACTTAACACGGATTGAAGCAGTGGGTACAAAGTTCCTGTCTGACTCTCCGATAAGACGAAAATAAAATAAATATTTTTGTAAAAACTGGTGTAACATTTGGAATACAATGTGTCAATACTAATGGCAAAACCCTAACATGTTCACACTTAGACCTACTATGTAGTGAATTTTAGCCTCAAGGATTTCTATGCAAGTGTTTTTTTCAGAACACTTTTTGAGTAAAGAAAAACTGAGGGATGTTGTTGTAGCTTAGCAAACGAAGCCACCAAGTCTGACAGTGGCAGCCTATTTGGGCACTGGTTCATTCACTCCATTTCCAATCCAGTTCCCTGCTAACGGCATGGGAAAGGGAGCAGAGGATGACCCAAATATTTGGGCCCCTGCCACTCGAGTGAGACCTGGAGAAGCCCAGCTGCTGTGGCCATTCTAGGGGCTGAACCAGCAGACACAGGGGCTCTTTCTCAGTTTCTCCCCATCTCTGTAACTCTGACATACAAATACAAATAAATCTTTTTAAAAAATGGGAGGAGCCATTAATATCTTGTCAAACTACTATAAACTGTCATAGGAAACAGTAGTTTCAAGAAAACTGAACTAAGAATTAGAAAGAATCACCAGAAATATGGTGAAATCATCTCTTTGGACATACAGAACTTTCTTGTTTTACTTACCGATTTACTATCAGATAACAGAAATCCCATGCCATTTAACCCTATAAACGCTGTAAAACAGAAATAACATGTATAAATTGGTTAAATTTATTTGCCCCATGGCAGATCAGTCATCCAGATTCAAATTCTTACATCTCTACTACTGAGAGTCACTACATCACAAGTACTTGAGAAAAGCAAAGTTACTAACTTAGGTTAGTAACCTGAGAGCCTTACCAGGAACTGCTTCAGGTCTCGTGTAAAGATGAAATCTAGAGTGAGAATTCCTTACTCATTCTGAAGCAGGATAATAATATTTAGGGAACACTCAGCTCATCTTTATAATAACCTTGGTTATTTTAAAGCTATCATCATTCATATTTTACAGGTCAGGAAAAAGTTAACTTTCATGATCAGGGTTATAGGACGCAGCACAGCTGGTCTGGCACGTCCACGCTCTTGTAATGGACTCCAAGCCGTCCACTATATGCCAATAAGGAGCATCATCTCATAGCCAAGCCTGAGGGTTTCTGGTCTGTTTCGCCAGGAATGGTTACCAACCCAGTAGAAACGGACACAGACAGCTAAGAACTATGGTCCCCAGGGCAGAAGTCAGTTCAAATATGCAATGATTTCTATTCTAGGGTCAAGGTACAGCTAATTTCTAGTTAACGATAACATTCATGGTAGTAAAATTCACCTCCACCACAAAGCACAAATTCTAATCTCAAATTATGTGGTCTGTACTCAGTGCAATGGCCGTGAGCTTGGCTATGGGTCACTGTTCTCTAGTACCTTGAACAGTACACAGATTAATAACAGAATTTCATGAATAAATGAATTAATTGAACACAGGCTAAATTAATGTTTCTTAAACTCCCACATGTATAAGAATCTTAATAAAGTGCAGACTCTGATTCAGAAGTTCAGGGATAAGGCCAAAGAGTTCGTATGTTAATGAGCCCCTGGAATATAGTAATTATTGTTCATTAATAGCAGAGCAACACGCCCATTTTAGGGCACTTTCTCCAGGCTCTCCAAGTTGCCTGGGAAACGAACAAAAAACAGGATCTATTCATCTTCCACGCTGGAGGATAAAGCTATCACTGCTGGTCCTCTAGAGGAAAACATGGAATTACATCCTCAAATTCACACTACCCAAATCAGATGGGACTGTGGATTGTTTTAAAAAATATATAAGGGGGACCTCCAGATAAGATGCATTTAGTTGGGCCCAGCGGCGTGGCTTAGTGGCTGGGGTCCTCACCTTGAACGCACTGGGATCCCATGTGGGTGCCAATTCTAATCCCGGCAGCTCCACTTCCCATCCAGCTTCCTGCTTGTGGCCTGGGAAAGCAGTCGAGGACAGCCCAAAGCCTTTTGACCCTGCACCCATATGTGGGAGACCTGGAGGAAGAGGTTACGGGTTCCCGGCTTCGGATCGGTGCAGTACCAGCCGCTGCGGTCACTTGGGTCATTGGATGGAAGCTCTTCCTCTCTGTATATCTGACTTTGTAAAATAAATTAAAAAATCTTTTTTTTTAAAGATGCATTTAGTTTTGGGGAAAGGAAGGACTGTTATAGATTGCCACGAAACATCACTATAAATCTGTTACAGGAGCCTCCCTTAAGAAGTTTACACAGCAGACTCCTGGAATCCCTGACTGAGACACCATTCATGTGGTCAGTGACTGACCAAGCAGTTAATGCACAGTTTGGGGCAACTGAGTCAACTCTCTCACTAAGTGCTGAGTTCAGTTCCCAGTTCCTGCTCCGAAGGCTTCCAGCACGTGCAGAGCCCAGGGGCCAGCAGCAGGTGGCTCAGGAGGCTGGGCTCCCGCCACCGTTGTTCTGCTTATCCCTCTATCCCACTATTTCCTCAACAGTACACGAAGGGCCCAGCGTGATAGTGTAGTGGTTAAAGTCCTCACCTTGCACGCAATGGGATCCCATATAGTCGCCAGTTCTAATCCCAGCAGCCCTGCTTCCCATCCAGCTCCCTGCTTGGGGCCTGGGAAAGCAGTGGAAGATGGCCCCAAGCCTTGGGACGCTAAACTCGTGTGGGAAAGAGACCTGGAAAAGGCTCCAGGCTCCTGGCTTCGGATTGGCTCAGCTCCAGCTGTTGTGGCCACTTCGGGAGTGATTCCTCTTGTTTCTCCTCCTCTCTGTATATCTGACTTTTCAATAAATAAATAAACAATTTAAAAAAAAAAAAAAGAGTACATGGAAGCCAGTTCTGTTTGGCTTTCTGTCAAATAAACCTTCAAAGAAAAACTGATAACTTAACATTTAGGATACAGTTTCAGATAGCCCTCAAAATATTATTATTATTTTTAAGACTTACTTGCATTCATTGGAAACGCAGATCAGACTTTATGGAGAGGACAGAGAGAAAGCTCTTGCATCTGCTGGTTGATTCCACCAAATATCAAATTATCCAAGAAAGGGTGCATTTTTATTCCTAGTGTCCATTATGATGTTAGTAAGCCTGCTGATCTTATTTTTAGAAATTTATTTTTGTTGTTGTTGTTGGAAAGTCAGACATACAGAGAGGAGGAGAGACAGTGGTTAAAGCAGGTCAGTGTCCCAAGGCTTTGGGCCGTCCTCGACTGCTTTCCCAGGCCACAAGCAGGGAGCTGGATGGGAAGTGGAGCAGCCAGGATTAGACCTGGCGCCCACATGGGATCCCAGTGCGTGCAAGGCGAGGACTTCAGCCACTAAGCTACTGTGCTGGGCCCAAGTCTGTTGTTTTTAAATGTAAATGCTAAGGAAACAGAATTCCGTATGATTATTGGGTTCAATTAACAGATCAGTGCTTCAGCAGTAAATACCAGCTTAGATGCTCCACCTTGAATACCATGCCTCTACACAGCCCTGAGATAGGTACAGACACTTACAAACACCCTAGTGTGGGAGAGGAAGCACAAACAGAGGCTAAACGACTTGCTCAAGGTATCAGTCCAGGCAGGGATTCAGACGGGCTACTCTTTATACAACCACGTATTTAACCATTATTATCTTCCTATCTTACTCCTCCTCCATCTCAATAGGCTAGAAAAATCCCATTTTCCTTACTTGTTCAACCACAAATTTTTGTCCTTTAAATTTACATTTTCTACAACCAATAGTAGTACATATTTTAGTAATAACTTAAAAGCATTACATTGCTTTATTACTCATACGAAAGAAAAAGCTCTTGCCACTGGAAGCACTTGGTGAACCTTTGATCTTTTCTGAAAAACTACAAGTTACTGTACAAGCCCGAGAACTAAATAAGTGAGGCCTCTGTCCCAAAAAAGTGTTAAATACTGTAACAACCCAGAGCAAGAGGGGACGTATGTTGATCTTCATTGTTCTATAGTAATGAGTATGAAATAATGAGCCCAGCATAATGGCTCAATTGTCTAATCTTCCCCTTGGAAGTGTCAGCATCCAATATGGGCACAGGTTCATATCCTGGCTGCTCCACTTCCCAACCAGCTCCCTGCCTGTGGGCTGGGAGGCGACAGAGAAGGGCCCAAAGCCTTAGGACCCTGCACTCATGTGGGAGACCCAGAAGAAGCTCCTGGTTCCTTCCTGGCTTCGGAGTGGCTCAGCACTGGCTATTGCACACCTGCAGCCATTTGGGAAGTGAACCAGCAGATGGATGATCTTTCTGTCTCTTCTCTCTTAAATCTGTCTTTCCAATAAAAAGCAAATACATAGAATGTTTTTAAAAGGTAATAACAATGTGCTACACAAATCCTGCATTACTCCTGATTTTACTGCCCTGACAAGAAAATTCTTTCACAGGGACCAGTGTGATGGCTTAGTGGCTAAAGTCTTCACCTAGAACAAATTGAAACTCTGGTCTTTGTTTACTTAAGACTTATCTGAAATGCAGAATTACTGGGAGACACCAAGAGATGAGCCCATCTGCTGGTTTACCAGATGGGATGAACAGCCATGACTGAGCCCAAATGCAAGAGTCAACAGCCTCAAGGGATCTCCCACATGACCAAGTACTTGGGCCATCTTCTACTACCGTGCCAGGTACGTCAGTCAAGATTTGTACCGGCCACATGTGGCCACCACCGGCAGCAGCTTAGCTTGCTGTGCCACACCGCTCTCCATACCCCCTTTCCTTTCTAACCACAGTCAAAAATCTTATTTTTTTTAAGTTTTACTATCAATATTGCTTGAGATTTTCCATCTACTGGTTCACTCCCCAAATGGTCATGATGGTCAGAGATGGGCCACCCTCCACATTCTGGTGAACTATGCAGGCCATAAGCAGGGAGCTGGAGCACAACTGGGCAGCCAGGACACAAAGAGGCATCCTTCCGGGATAGCAGCACTTCAGGCAGCAGGCAGAGGCTCAGCCTGGCCCCCAAAATCTCATTCTTAAGCTCCAAGGGTGAATAAAAGTATGGATTTTATATATTCATGTCTAATATTAAGCACTACTGATTTATTTTTTAAAGATTTATTTATTTTAATTGGAAAGACAGATATACAGAGAGGAGGAGGAGAGACAGAGAAGAAGATCTTCCATCCGATGATTCACTCCCCAAGTGACCACAACGGCCGATGCTGCACCGATCCGAAGCCAGGAGCTTCTTTCAGGTCTCCCATGTGGTCGCACGGTCCCAAAGCTTTGAGCCGTCCTCAACTGCTTTCCCAGGCCAAAAGCAGGGAACTGGATGGGAATTGGAGCTGCCGGGATTAGAACTGGCACCCACATGGGATCCCAGTGCGTGCAAGGCAAGGACTTTAGCCGCTAGGCCACAGCATCTGGCCCCAGCACTATGACTTCAATGAGTTCTGAAGAAATGTGGGGCTGGGGCAAGTGCAGTGGCATAGCAAGCTCGCCTTCCCCCTCAAGCACCAGCATCCCAAACAGGCACAGGTTCTAGTCCTTGTTGCTCTACTTCCCACACAGCATCCTGCCTTTGGCCTGAGGGAGCACTGGAGAAGGACTCTGATCCTGGGCTCTTCCTCCCATGTTGGAGAGCCAGAAGAAGCTCCTGACTCTTGGCTTCAGTTTAGCCCCGCTCCAGCCATGTGGTCTTTCGGGGAGTGAACCAGCAGATGAAAGACAACCCACCCCCCCTTAACTCTGTAAATCTGCCTTTCAAAAAAAAATAAAGTAGTGCTGGCAAACAGCTCAAATAAACCCAAACTGACAGAATAACAGCATAATGTCAATAGTCATTATTGGATCTTTTCTGAAAAAAGTTCATGCACACCGTGACCTGGAGCATGTTATTTCGCCCCCCGCCGACCTCACTTTCAGCCCATTACATCTACCACCTGCCGAGGCTTCTCTTTATCCTGAAGTTCCACATGCAGCTCCAACACACATTTAACAGCTAGTCAGCTATAAACTTACACCAAATAAGCTTTCTTGTCAATCATTTGTTTACTTACTTTCTTTCTACAATTTTTCTCTAAAAAACTAACCTAAAATTTACAATGTTGTATTTTAAAAATCAGAAAAGTTTTAGACAAAACAGTGCAAAATGGTATGAAAAATATTTATTTAATGGACATTTTCACATTTGTAGCACATAAAGTGCTGGTAATGGTGGCATGTCAATATGCTGGATAATATTACTGAACTGTAAACTTGAAAAAGTACTTAAATTAATTATGGATTGCTTGTTTGGACATTTTACAATTAAAAACCACAATTTCTAAGTGTTATTAAAACATCATATGCTATCACCCATCAAAATATGTGGTGTTAAAAAATCTCAAAGAGACAGACACAGGTTTTAATAATCATTAAAGCAAACACTTGGGCCTGGTGCGGTAGCTATAAAGTCGTCGCCCTGCATGTGCAGGGATCACATATGGGCGCCAGTTATATCCAGGCTGCTCCATATTCCTTCCAGTTCCCTGTTTGGGGCCTGGAAAGCAGTCAAGGACAGTCCAAAGCCTTGGGACCCTGTACCCATGTGGGAGACCTGGCAGAGGATCCTGGCTCCTGGCTTCAGATCAGCTCAGTTCCAGCAACTGCAGCTATCTGGGGAGTGAACCAGTGGGTGGAAGATTTCTGTCTCTCTACCTCTCCTTCTCTCTGCAAATCTGATTTTCCAATAAAAATAAATGAATATTGGGCCCGGGACGATAGCACCGCGGTTAAAGTCCTCACCTTGAACGCGCCAGGATTCAG